GCTGGTTTAAAGGTTCGCTGAATACGTGTAACAACGCTCGCTGTCACAGCGAATGCTTGCTTTGTAACATCTCTTATGTCAGTAGTTTAATTTCTTTTCTGTCCGTTTCACTCTCTCTCTCTCTCTCTCTCTCACGCTAATATCGTAATACGAGTGAGTGAGACAGAGTCGATATATCGATAAAGTTCTTGACTTTATCGATTAAAATATTTTGCCGATATCGATGTTATAAATCGAAATCTATTGGCGGTAAAGGAGGTGGTAGATTCTTTTCTTTCCACAATCCGAATTTCGTTTCTTGAGAATCTGAAACAAGATTTGTATTCTACTTCATTCTACTAAATTTTGGTTTATCATTGCTGTCTTTGCAGCGAGTATCGCGGTCAAAAATTTGTAAGTTTTTGTATCTCAAATTTGAAAAATAGTTGTGTAGACTGACGACATCATAAAGGTAGCAGGATGGTGCTGGATGCAGGCCGCTAAAGTCCGGTCACCAAGCAGATAGAATTTCGTCCAATGACACCAAGCTACCCATCCTTATCGCGCGTAATTATAAAGCTGTCGCGCTCGCACACTCACTGCGGCCGCCAGTCGCACAGCCGCGGCCGCGACAGCAACATAATTAAGCGCGAGCGATAAGGATGGAGCTTGGGGTCATTGGACGAAATTCTATTTGCTCGGCGACCAGACTTCACCAACCGGGCGACGTGCATTATTATTGGGGGGAGGTCTATGTTCAGCAGTGGACGTCCTATGGCCGAAATGATGATGATGATGAAAAACTCTTCACTTACCAGTAGCCTTGGTAGACGAGCGCGACTTGAAGAACTTGGCGAGGATGACGCGCGACGGTGACAGAGGGCGCGCATGGGCCGGCTGCGCTCGTGCAATGCTCACGTCCAGTCTGCCTGGAGAATTATGTTGTTACTGTTGCAAATACATTGTGTGTCTTTTTCTATTGCTTTGCTAAAGCCTGGTCCGTGAGCACGTAGAATTTTGTCCAATGACCCCAACCTACCCATCCTTATCGCTCGCGCGTAGTTATGTTGCTGTCGCGCGCGCACACTCACTGCGGGTGCGCGTTGCACAGTCGCGACAGCAATATTATTACTGTCTTTTTCTATCGCTTTGCTAGTTCAAACTCAAGGTAAAGAAATATGAGTGAAGGTGGACTACCATTTCGGACCAACATAGTCAGCTGGTGCTGAAAAGAAGTGGCAGAAGAAGGTTACCTTTATCAGAATCTTGAAAATACAATTTCGAAGATAGGTAATAAGTGCGATCCAGGAGAATCTTTGCATTTATCAATAACTACCAACTCTATCACTTTATAGTATCCTTTTTTCATGAATTCATTTGAATTCACAAGCAGTTATACAAGAGATGTGGTATGGCACAAAACAACTGGATGCTCATCCTACTTGGCAGCCTTGAGGGACACAAATCATAGGAAATTGCGAGGTTGTATGGAGTCAAGTGGAAGCAACTGGACACGAGTGTCTACGTCTGACCAGGGAGCAGAGAAAATAATGCACTGGTGGATTGTATACCACACAAGACAACAGTGTTAACGTTTGCAGTAGGGGTCGCAATACCGAATCATTTCAGCAAAACCGGTATTTTCGGTATTGACTCTAGACAAATACCGATAATCCGGTATTTTCGATATTTCCGGTATTAAGCTAAAGTTAGCAAATTTAGTATGTATAATAAAGTTAGTTTGCGGAGGAAAAGTAAGTAGGTACCTAACCTAAATTAATGTATCTTCTAAATAAAACAAAATTCAGTCCAAATCAAATTGAGTTATAAAGAGGTAATCAAAATATTATTAAATCTAGATTAAATTTTAGGGCCTTGTAATGAGAACGTAGAAACAGTAAAGTATCTAAACTTTTATCACTCTTGACTTACTTAACTTAAGGTCCTATGTCCCCTAGATGGGGCAGAGGGCGTCCACAACAGTCAGTTTGATCTCACTCCAAGTCTTGCCGATCTTCTTCGCCTCGTCTGCCACAGTGCGCTGCCAAGTTTGCTTGGGGCGACCACGTTTGTGTTTTCCGTTTGGGGGTTCCAATCCAGAGCCTCCTTGGGGATGTGATCGGAATCTATTCGGAGAGTGTGGCCAATCCAGTTTCACTTGCGGCGCTTGATCTGCTGGTCGATCGGAATTTCGTGGCAGCGTTCCAATAGCTCGACGTTGAAGATTTTCTCAGGCCAGTATATGCCAAACGCGATGGGATGCGCGAAGGCAGCGGTTGACGAAGACCTGCAGCTGGTGCGAGATGACCTTGGTGACCTTCCACGTTTCACACCCATAGAGCAGAACGGATTTAACGTTGGACCCGAAAATTTTGATCTTGACCCTTCGGGTCAGTTTTGTGACTGCCATACGGGGCGAAGTTGTGTGAAGGTAGCTCCAGCCTAGGCAATGCGCGAAGTGATGTCATCTTCGGTACCTCCAGTCTCCCGAGGTAGGTAAAATTGTGGACACGTTCCACATGCTCTGCACCAATCCGTAATAGTGTGCAATTCCTCACTCCAGATCGCATCTCTTGGGTCTTCCGGCAGTTAATTTTGAGCCCCGTGATGCCTGCCTCTCGATGTAGGTCATCAATTTTGGATTGCATATCGTGATGCGTGTGGCTCAGCAAACAGAGGTCATCGGCTTAATCTAAGTCTTCTAAGACTCCAATTATACCCCACTCTATTCCACGCGTTGGTTTTGATATGCACGACACATGATTCCATCCAAGACAACCAGAAAGAGAAGCGGCAAAAGCAGGCAGCCTTGCCGGACGCCCGCATGCACCTCGATGTCTTCGTGTGACAGTACAAGAATATTTCTTGTAGATGGCCTTCAGTAGATCGATATTTTTCGGCGGGACACCAATGTCAGCGAGTCGCGACCATATGCTTGCCCACTTTAGCGTATCAAAGGCTTTTTCAAAATCTACAAAGGTAAGATAGACTTCCCTTTGCCATTCTGATGCCTGCTCGAGCACGAGCGGTTCGGGCGGAAGCCAGCCTGTTCCCTACGCAAAAGAGGTTCAACGGCCCCCGGTAACCTATCCAAGATAATCTTGCAGAAAGCCTTTGACAGTATCGAGAGCAAAGTGATACCTCTCCAATTGCTACACTGGCTTAGGTCCCCTTTCTTTGGCACAGTAATTAAAATCCCCTTATTCCAGTCGTCTGGGAGTTCCTCTTCCATCCAGATGTTTTCGATGAGAGGTGTCAGGACGTCAGCGGCGGAGTTTACGTCGACTATCACTCAATCAACTCGAAACGAACTCGCGCGCGCGTATTTTGACTTAAATGGCGCGTAAATTTTTCTATTTGTATTTGTTTTTTATTTATTTTACTAAAACCGAAAATATCGAAAATCCCGGTTTTTGTGAAATGAATACCGGTATTAATTAGACCTAAATTTGGCCCGGTATTCCGGTATTTTCGAAATTCGGTATCCCGGTTTGCGACCCCTAGTTTGCAGCCTCTAAACATAGGTAGGTACTCAATAACCCTAGGTACTCAATAGCTCAGTATCATCAATGTATAAGGTATCTCACCTCTCGCCCCCCTCTCGTTCCCTCTGCCCCCTCTGGCTTGTGCCACGGCCACGGCGCCCGCGCAAGCGAAGGCAGCCGCCCAGCCTGCCACGCACCACCCACAGCTAGGGTACCACCACCACTGGAAGGGAAGGTAATTGGAAAATTTTGGGTATACCACATCATCATCATTTCAGCTACAGGACGTCCACTGCTGAAATTAGGCCTCCATAGATTTCCATGACCAGTTGGCAGCCTGCATCCAGCGCCTTCCTGCTACCTTTATGAGGTCGTCGGTGCACCTCGCTGACATAGCCCGACGGATTAGCAAGCTGAAGTGGATGGGCAGGGCACGTAGTACGCAGAATTGACGGCCGATGGGGGCAAGGCTCTGGAGTGGAGTGACCATGTACCTACCGGAAAGGCAGCATACCTACTGCCTCCAAAATTAAGTGATTTCACTTTTTATATCTGGCTTTTATACAACGTTTATTTACGCGACATAGTACGATTTTTTTAGTCATGCCACACTGGAGGATGTGTCAGACCAGTAATGGTCCTTCGAGCTGGATAAGATATATTTTGGCTCCATCACTGTAAGGCTATAATCTAAAGGCTGTAATGGCTCAAACAAAGAGGAGTAAAACTACTTTAAGTAGTGTAATAATATTAATAATAATACCGTACATAACATCTTCGAAATCGATCTCGCTGTGGCTCGTTCTCGTTCTGCGCAGGTCGTTTCGGTGCGCAGGAGTTCTCACCTGGGTTCGACCAACTGCCGACGGGGCATGCAGCTGCAAGTTAAATAATACCCTATTCAATATCGTGTAGGACACAAAATGAACATAATCGTCAATGCAGCAAGTCCAGATTTTAGTTTTCGAGTTAGTAAATCAATCGTCATCATTATTATCAGGTCACAGTCTCGATTGCAGGAGCACGATTCATTGGCCTACACTCTACGCGCTGGCCAGACGGGTTGGGGAGGCCTGATGTTCGCATTTTTGTTCCTTAGTCGCCTCTTAAACATTGTTGTTATAACGACAGACTTAGGTAAGATATTGATATATTGATTGCTAGCCTGACGGACTTAGAACAAGTCCTACCACCTACAAACCGAACAAAAAAATCCCCCATTGGGAATCGAAGCCGGGACCCCTGGATCTGAAGCACTTGGTCTTACCACTAGACTAAAGGCGGTTAAATGCGACGGTTGTATATCTCTCAACCTCGTTGCTGTATAGCAGGGGTGGCCAACCAGTCGATCGCGAATATTAGTCCAGTCGATCGTGGCAAGGCAAAAAATACTACATGATTGTGTACTAAATTATGCTGTTCCATTTAAGATTTCAAGAAGTATGTAAGTGTTAGATCGCCCAGGGTTTCGTTAATAAACAGTAGATCTTATGTCTAATCAAGTTGGCAACCCCTGCTGTAGGGGGTAGAGGAACTTCAAGGGTCGTAGCGAATGGACAAGGTCTCACCACACAACTTCTGGTCAGGAATCAGGTAGTACCCAGCAGGACAGGACGCGAAGACGTTGATGCTCTCGGAATAAAAACTTGGGCTGTAATAGTCATGGTGGGGGTCCGAATCTGTGAGGTAAAAAAAACAAGGGTTTTTTTTTATAACTTACATACTGCCTAAAGTTCGGTCACCGAGCACGTAGAATTTCGTCCAATCACCCCAAGCTGCCCATCCTTATCGCTCGCGCATAATTCTACGTGCTCGGCGACCAGACTATTTAAGAAGATTGCGTGTGAAAAGAGTTTTGTCACCGTGACAGTATGTTTCTCTTTTACACTATTATAAAGAGAAAAAGAGAGACAACGTAGTGTTTATTCTTATCTATGGAGAGACATACTGTCATGTTGACAAAAGTCAACCGTGCGCGCGCGCCTTAAAATTTCATGTTTGCACATTGGCGAAATCATGGTTCTCAAAACCAAGTCGTTGCTTAAATAAAAGAAGAAAAAGAAGTAAAATTTCATGTTACAAAATTGTGAGGGTAGTTCATTCAACAAAATGAGCGAACTACCCTAAGTAATTTGTTTAAAAGTTTAGTTTTTTGAATCTACAAGTTGAGTGTGAAGGTGAAGGTAAAACAACTTAGCTAATATATATTTTGGTGAGTATTATTGTTTTGTTCTCTATGTGAACTCATTTTTGTCCTTGAAATAATGTAAACCAACCTTTTCTTCGAAGCGTATGAGTGATGATTGTTCTTCTGCTATCCGAAGAAGACGAAGGCACCAATGTTTTGTTCATGTCGTCATACATTATCATAACTGCAACGGAAAAATAAGTTTGAAGACCTCGTCAACTGACCCAGACTGAATGTCAATTTACTGATCTCAGGTGTTCTATCAATTCCACGACTAGCCTAAAAGAAATGTTGACATGCATAGTTTTTCGAGAAACTATCACATGAGATATCCCTAACCAAGGAGCGAAGACTCATGTACTACAAGCAACCTGGTGAAAACAGGGTCTAAAAGGGTATGGAAATAAAATGCCTGAGACAGGATCGGGCTCCAAATATCATTATACAAATAGCTTAAAATTGTACTACGAAAGAACTGTCCAAACAGCAGATCTACTCCGAAGCGCTGTTTGCGTAGTTTCAAGTCTATCAATCATTGTTGCTCATATTGCCATCTAGCTTTGCGTGAGAGGAATGGCAACTTTAGAAACTCCGGATAACCATTTTCGTAGTAACAATAGTGACTGAGTTTCTTGCGCTGCTTCTTCTCAGCACTGGCCCATTTATTGTCCCGAATCAGTGGTAGATTTAATACTGTGACGAGTAAAAGTGCTATTTAAAAGCCTACTTGCAATAACTTTTAACCCCGCAGCTCTTTTTGTGACCGAATCAGAAATGAGGAGATCCGCAGGAGAACCAAAGTAACCGACATAGCTCGCAGAATTGCTAAAATCAAGTGGCAGTGGGCGGGGCACATAGCTCGTAGAGACGATGGCCGTTGGGGCAGGAAAGTTCTCGAGTGGCGACCACGGGCTGGAAGACGTAGCGTGGGCAGGCCTCCTACTAGGTGGACCGACGATCTGGTAAAGGTCGCGGGAAGAGCCTGGATGCGGGCAGCGCAGGACCGTTCATTGTGGAAAACCTTGGGGGAGGCCTTTGTCCAGCAGTGGACGTCATTTAGCTGAAACGACGACGAACGACGAGCTCTTTGTAATAATTTATTCCACCATTTCCAGAAGCAATACCTTTAACAGCCGCCAAGGCCGGGGCGTCGGCAGCGGCCATCAGCGCCAACGAGTCGTGCAGGTCGCGGCGGCAGCGGGCGCTGCACTCCACGCCTTGGCCCGGGAGGACGCTCATCTTGGCCGTCATGCGTACGTATGCTGTGCTGGACTCCTGGGATTTGTTGTCAAAATTCATGATTAGGTAAGTAACTACCAACTTATTGTTATTTACTTTTGAATGCTTAATGATGAAGGTAAGAGGATTGGCGGATCCTTATTTGAATACGAGTAACAGCTGTAATGCCATGCTTTGATACAAATAATTTGATTTATTAAAAGGACGTCCACGGCCAATTTCCACAACTACTGTTTCTGCGCTGCCAGCATGTAAGTGCTGCCACCTGGAATTTTTAGAAAGTGAAGATTTTACTCCTGCCCCCTCTAGTCAAAGCTACAAACGTGACAGGTATTTCTGAAATCGCTACGCGCGCTCTGGTGTTTTTTTTCGTACCCACCATGTTATTACTTGACTCGGTGAAGGGTCATCAAGTAATGAGCAGGCATTCGAATTTTGATGATAGGCGTTCCTCACAAGGTCTTTAACTAGACTCATGAGATTCTCGGCTTCCTAAAGGAAGTCTCGCTACAATAATAAAGCTGTCTGTGGTAATGGATTCGAAAGACTTTGTGATGAGCGTGATCGTTTTTAGCCGGAGTGATAGATTATTAATTTATTCAATGATAGGTCAGTAGTACTTCTTACTCTGTCTTGCAAGCAGACTGGCTCCTCAATCTGTACACCGCAGAGCTGGTCTTTAGAGCATATCTCTTTGCCCATCATTGGACCAAGCAACTGAACTGCTCTTAGATCCTGAGGAAGAAGAACCGTAGATAGAGACACAAAAATTGTTCAGCCAAACGTGAAACTACAATAGCCCAGTAGTGATGGATTGCAGATTCGAGTCGGCAGTTCGATTCTCGTCGACTCGCTGGTCTATTCCACTTTGATCACCTGGATTTGATCTCCCAGGTGATCAAAGCAGTTCGAACCTCGTCAACTCGCTAGTCTATTCCACTTTAATCACCTGGATTTCTCCCAGGTGATCAAAGTGGACCCCAGGCGATACTTTCGTGTCCTTTGATCACCCACGGATAAAAAGTCCGCTTTAATCACCTAGGTGATGTTATCCATGGGTGATCAAAGGTCACCAAAGAGTCGCTTGCAGTCCATCAAATCCAGGTGACCAAAGTGGAATAGAATGACTCGCTGCTGGACTATTGTGGTGAACCCACTCGTAACTTAAACATAAAATATTATACTTTAGCTTAGCCTGTAAGAAAACAGCGTAATTTTTAACTTACGTCATAGGTACACGTCTGGTCAATGACGTAGACGGGATTAAACACCACTTTGAACTTTGGCAAGGTGATGATTGTTAATCTGACCTTCCTCTGTGCTGTATTTCCCTGGAAGTAATGAATTTATGCATCGGAATAACCATATTTATCAAACAAAAGGGGGAATGGTATGTAATTATGGTTCTTTATTGACAATCTTATAGAATTTTAAGGCCACTCAACATTGATAAAACAAACGCAATCAACACTTGAAAATTTCGACGTGTACATCCAGTATCTAAGTAGCTCAGATGGAAGAGCATTCGCCTGGCAAGAGAACGGTTGTGCGTTTGATTCCCATCTTAAGCAGTTGGATTTTTTCGAGTTAAAAATCTTTTAGAATCCATAGCTACCTTCTTACACGTATATTCTCCCAAATTCCTCGCTTCCACTTCTTTTATCATCAATTTTGGTCCATCCACGATGACGTTGTCGTACGTCAGCATATCCTTTCTGTCAGTCAGCCATCTTAATTCGTTATCTTCTTGCACATTGATTTTATTGGAAGCACATTGTATTATTACTGTATCGCCGAGCATTACATAGGATTCATTCTGAAACAATTTTGGAAATGCATTGTAAACAACTACACATTTTAATTTAGGTTTGTCCATTCATCATAATATTTTAATGGTTCAAAAATGCAGTAGAGGACTGTAGTAATAGAGGACATTGCTCTTGACGATATTTTTTCTGAGTTAATAAGCGGCTATTCTAGTTCTATAAAGTCTAGTCTCTACTAATCTATTACTAGCTACTTTACTAATCTATTAATAATACTACTCTATTAATCTATTACTACTACTACTCTATTAATCTATTACTACTACTACTACTCTATTACTACTACTAATATATTATTACTACTACTCTACTAGTCTTTTACTACTACTACTCTATTACTACTACTACTCTACTAATCTATTACTACTACTCTATTAATCTATTAGGTAGAGCAGTATCTTTTGGGGGGCAATATGTTTATATCCTGTGGGCTTAGAATGTCAATGAATGAATCATATTTATTTACTTACTGGTTTACTAGAAAATGTTAAATTCCTCATTCCAGTCTCAAGCTCATTGATATCATCAGCCCGTTTCTTTCTCTTCTTTTTACTTCTGTAAATTCCAAACTTATCCCGTTCAAGTTCTTCGAAATATTCGTTGTCTTCTTTTATAAATTTTATTGAATCTACCAGTTTATTTTCTTCATTTGTATTTTTTATGTCGTTACATTTTGCGTTAACTATTTTATTTGATTCTTCTATTTTGTTTTTATTTTGAATTCTATTTTTGTTGTCACATTTTTCAATCCGTTTTGATTTCCTATTTGTATTGCAATCTTTACTTTCAATTTCATCATAATTTATTGATCTTTTATTTCGTATCCAATCCCATTTCAAAATGTGTTCCGTAGAAGTTATTTCTTCGTATTTTTTCATTTTCTTCCTGCGTTTCCTGTGAGCTATCTCTATGAGGAAGTAGTTGGGAAGCTTCTTGAATTTGTCGCAGGTCTTATTGGCGATGTACTGTTCTACTTCTTTTCTGGGAAGAGACTTGAGCATTTCCTGGACTCGTTTGAAGGTGGAATCGATGTCGCAGACTTGACCGGCGTGGGATCTAGACGCCTCTTGAAACAAATTGAAGAATGTTATAAAATGTTTATGAACTCTCATCTTAAAACTCAAAATTCAGCTGAAGGTCGGTTTGTGAAGGAGAAAATTAAACGTTACCAGACTGATATAGGCGCATAATTCAGTCAGTTCCTGAGGTATGGGAGCGGCAAGTGAGACTTCAATTTGTATGTTCTGTCACGACATTTATATCAAAAGAACCCCTCCCGTGCCCCGACTGAGATTCATGAGAGGGATCAATGGATAGTGCGTGAAAGTGATAATATGACCAAATATTTACCTTGATTGCTGTTAACGCATACCGTCACTTTAGGTTCTGGTAAAGAATCCTGTAATAGAAATAGTAGTTTAGATTCTGAATCTTTCATCATCATCATTCAGCCACAGGACGTCCACTGCTGAACATAGGCCTCCCCCAATGACTTCCACATGAACGGTTGGTAGCGGCCTGCATCCAGCGCCTTTTCGCTACCTTTATCAGGTCGTCGGTCCACCTTTACCACTATGTTAGGCTTGAGTCTAGAGTGGTCATGTAATAGCACAGGCGACAAATGTTTGTGTGAATCTACCATTTCATGATGTAACACTTTCTCTAGGAGCTTCAAATGGATTGACATGAGGGAATTTAAGTGTTAATGTAGAGACGCATCGGAATTTATTTAAAAGATCCAAAGTAAGAGAACTCCAAACAAGTGTTTACATTTTTCATGCTTTGTCCTGGTCTAAAATAATAAATGGAATTGCTAGACTAACCTTTGGATTCACTTTCACCGTTTTCACCTTTGAGGTATTCGGGGTATTCTCGCCTGAAAACAATAAGTTGTTTATAATTGTAACAATTGAGATTCAAACAGGATATATTAATTTCGAGTAAAAAGGGAAACAATTTTGATGAATTTTCTTTCTCTATAGGTCTAGAGCTTAACTAAGTCAGTGCCTGAAGTATGAGGGAGGACCGCGAGGGTGTTTTTGGGACGCCAAATGTCTTCAAATGTGCTTCAGATTTGTATGCTCTGTCACGTCATAATATACTCAACATCAAATAAATCGCACCTTCGGCGACGCGAACTTTAAAGATTTTCTTCTGACACAAACATGGTGCCCCAACAATATTGGTATTATATGAAAGTCCAATAAATATCCTTAAAGAAAATTACATTTAATTTCTCCATAAACGATTAACACATACCATAAATGTGACTTGAAAAAAGACCTCACTTGGGGCTCACCTCTGGGATCAATTAGACCAATTTTTATGGTTATAAAACCAAATAATGATCTCACGTGTCCTCTTTAACAGATGGATACCGATTAATCCCAACTTAACAGTTTTACGGCCGAATACTGAAACGCCATTTAAATATTTGACGGCTTCTCAAATAGTTAAGCAGCTCCTAAACTTACATTTCGCATACTCAAAACAATATCTGAGCAGTTCTCAATTTTTAAGCACCTCTCAAATTAAGTTGCACTCAAACGCCACTTAAATGAATTTTCGCATACTGAAACGCCATTCAACGCTAAGCATCACTCAAACAACTGTCAAATCGTCTTAAGCAGCTGTTAAATTTGAGAGTGCTTGCGCGGTATCTTAAATCCTATTCTTATACCTAAATCGACCTAAATAGTGGTAAATAATGTGTGTCATCGTTATCATTTCTTTCGAGAAATCGTTAAAAAGTTAGAAAAGAAAAACATTTACGAATTAAATAACGAAAATAACTGATTCTTTCTTAGTACCTGCTAAAAAGCGTTTAAATAATTGAAACGCTTTTTGGCTGGAGCTGTGTTGAATATATCACAAATAAATTCACCTGCTTCATCACCCTCTACCCCAGCACATGCTTTATGGCCCCATTTTCCACATGCATAACATTTTATCCATCCTTCACCCTTGGTATCGCTTGAAAACTTTTCTGTTCAGTACAGCCACTCAGTATCATCTCCTTCAGACTCAGGTGAGTTATATGAAGTTCTCTTTCTTTTATTTCACTTCCCTTTACCTACTCCATTGACTTTTTTGTTTTAATTCCCAGGGATCATCTCGTACATATAGGAAGGGATCATCTTGACCCAAGGCCCACTTTTTGTTAAATATTTGCTAAAATAATCTACAAGTACGCGGCTACGTTTTTATGGCCAAAATATTAAAATTAAACATAATAGAAAGCCTAACGACAACAGTAATTACATTTAACATTGTTTGAATAAAAGTAACATAAGCTCAAAGTCATGCCTATTTTAGATCAGAAGTACACAATTTTTCTTTTTTCTCGTCAAATTCGATGTATCGCTCACGCCACCATTGCGATTTGACTGAGGCGGGGATGTGTCCAGAGCTATGTTTTAGCAGTGAAAGAAACTATATGACGTTAGTGGTTTCAGCACAATCGCGAAAGATCATCTTACCCCAGGGGATCAACTCGTACTACTTTCCCCGAACCCTACTGTTCTACGCAACGGGAAGTTATGAACGTGTACTAGGTGATATCTTCCACATCGAACAGCCAACTGTGCATCGTATAGTGCACAAAGTAACAACCAAAATAGCTGTGCTATGAAATCGCTTTACATAAACATGCTTATTTCTGAGGAATAATATGGGGACATCGCATAGTAGCATTTCCAAGAGTTGTTGATTTGTCAATTTGATGCTCTGTCAACAATGATAAATGTCAATTGTGGTTACGTTTCGGTCCACGATCGCCACTTAATAGATTTCAACAATAAAAAGTATCACCTTTAAAATTATTTTTTTAATTAAATTTTATAAAAATGCAAGCATTAATTTTTTTATATGTTAAAACGAGATTTATGTATAATAGAAACTAAAAATAAACTGTTGTATGTTAAGTTGATTGAGTAATATTTCCATAAAAGACAATACATAACCAAACGATGCTGCGTGTAATGGATAAAAAACGTAAAGTTATCATTTGTGTAAATGAAAACATACTTTTTTTGGTAAATGTTGCCATTATGTAAACATTTGAGAGCTGCTTAGCTGATCACGGCTTCAAATCCGTTGAGTGGCGTTTGAGAATACCATTTAAAATTGAAGGATACTTAAATTTAGGAGCCCGTCAGCTGAGTGACAGATTTGAGTAGTGTTTCAGTATTCGGCCGTTATAGCCATAAAAGTTGGCTCAAGCGTAACTACCTATTTTTTGAAGAAGTGACTCTGGATCCTTCTAAAGACACATTTTTGGGGTAAAAACCTTTCCTTTAATGAAATGAAGTTTAGTACTAGGTTTTCCGTGGAAGAATTCCGATCGGCCAGCAGATCAAGCGCCGCAAGTGGAACTGGATTGGCCACACTCTCCGAAGGGACCCCAATCACATCCCTAAGCAGGCTCTGGATTGGAATCCCCAAGGAAAACGCAAACGTGGTCGACCCAGGCAAACTTGGCGGCGCACTGTAGCGGACGAGGCGAAGAAGATCGGCAAGACCTGGAGCGAGATCAAGCGAGAAGCTCAAGACCGAACGCGATGGAGGACTGTTGTGGACGCCCTCTGCCCCATCTAGGGGACATAGGACCATAAGTCACTAGGTTTTCAAATGGTACCAATGTTGATGGGAAGTGGGGATGCATACGTTTGAAAAGTGCTTGTCGCGGGAGGTGCGATTTATTTGATGCTGAGTGTATGTCAATGTCACCCCTCCCGTGCCGCTCCCAACCTCACGCACTTGATTTAAGTGCTACACTTATAAACATTCGTCTATTTTACCTTTAGGTTTGCTTGTGTTTCCCTTCATCTGTGGCTGCTTTTCCTTCTGTTTTGTCGTTGTGGACTGCTTTCGTGGTGGAGGCGTGGTGCTCTGCGGCGGTGGTAGCTTCGTGAACGCGACTTTTGGCTGCCTTTGAAAGGACAAAGTTTATCAAACTAGGCTACTGAAGTAACGTTGAAATTGCTTGGGGGCTAGCTGTTCTACTTTTTATTGGCCTATTATTGAATCTATGTTACAAGTTAAGTAAAGTATTGAGTCCTATCTTTGCTTGCTTTCCTTCAACTTCCCATATTCCTCATAGAATTTAAGAAATTAATCACCTTTTCACTAAGTGTGTTTGGAACTACCCTCACTCCAAACTTGTTGGCAATCTTCTGTAGCAGACCAGAACCCTTACTCTCCTCCAGCCCTTTAGGAGTCGGCAGCTCTAAATCCTTGAGGGTTCTTATGATGTCATAGTCGCTTTCCGAGTTTCTTGATGTCTTGATGGTGCTGTAGAAATATTTTTATGATTAGAATTAATCTTTTTTCCAGTAACTTACAAGTAAGTCAAACAAGCGATTTAAAAAAAGAATTTATGATTCATTTAGAGTACAACAAGACCACCCCATTCTTCCCGTGAAGGGACATCAGGCCTTCCCTTGGCTAGCGTGGGGAATGCAGGCCAAATCCTCCATTTACCTATGGTAAAATTAGAGGGTCGTACTCCTACAGTGGATACTAAATTATCTGATGATGATGATGAGGTAACGTTTTCTTACTAACCTTTCAGTGCTAATAAAGAGTCTGAATATTCCCCTTTTGCTGTTCCTTGAATCATTGCTTTTCATTTCATCATTATCCTTCTTTATTCTTCTCAGTTCACTATTCAGTTTCTTCGCTTCATAATTTAGTATAGTCAGTAATAAACTGCGTGAATTGTCATGCATAAAGTTATCTGTACTTGAAGACATTCTTTCAAAATCTAAATTATAGCCTTCAGGTGAATTCATCCCAAAATTGGGCTCCATTTCGGTGTCATATTCATTTATTATGAGTATTGTTGGATTATTGTCTGTTGTTGATTGCGAATCTAAATTTTTACTGGCCTCCACTTTATGTGCTTTGGGTTTTTCGATTTTATTCTTAGTTGTTTTAAGTTTACTACTCTCCGTGACTGAAGATCTTGATTTCCTTATTTCTTCAGTGCTGTCCGTGATAGCGGTTGTCTTTCGGAACTCGTTAGCTTTTTTGTGGAAGAAGTCTAGAGTAGCCACTTTAAGTTTATGTAAGAAACTTGCTGTAGATTTTTCGGTGACATCATTAGTTTCTTTAAAATTTGCGTCCTCTCTAGATTCAGTAAAAGTTGTGGATTCTTCTTTAGGGGATACAGATTGAGTTGACTCCTGTTCTTTGTGACTTGTTTGAGTTGATTCTTCTTTAGCCTTTGAAGATTTTAACGTTGCTGGTTCTGTAGTTGTTGTAGTACTTTTTGCAGTAGTAGTTCTTGTAGTCCTTATTGTAGTTTCAGTTGTAGTGCTGGGAAGTTCTGTAGTCGTGGTCTGTAATGACTGAGTATTATCTGGTACTGGAATAACGACATTATCTTCACTGCTTCCTACTGTCGAAGACATTTTGGGAGTTTTAGGAACATTTATCACAGTCTTTGGAGCATTAGGTTTATGCTTGAAATTCAGCTTTGATTTTATAATATTGTAAATCTTCGTCGTCGTTTTTGTCTTGTTTTTCTTCGGTTTGGGCGTTGTATGTTTTTCTAATAATTCCATAGTTCGTGTAGACATGTCTTCTATTTCTTTAAGGTCTGTCATGTTGTGGAATATTTTAAAGAGCTCATTGATGTTGTGAGACAAAGTGTCAACCGATGCATAGTCTGTGGTATTCACATCGCGTTGGAAAACATGTTTCTTTGGATAAAGATTAGCAGTTGTTCTCAGTATGCTAAGCCACTTTGCTACGGACATTGATTTTTTTGCTTCTAATTCACCATGGTCTTTGGGATATAAGGTATGATCATCATTTACAGTTTCTTCAACCATTTCACTCGTAAACTTCTGAGGCAAAGAGTTGCCTTTCATGTAATCTTGCCAAAACGTTCCACCTGAATCAGAAACTAATGGAGACTCGATTTGTCCAGTTATTTGTCTTTTCTTAAACCTCATAGGTGGTGTAGTATCTTTAGTGACGTAGTATGTAAAAATATGATTCATTTTCTTCCCGATTTTTTTATTACCAAAAAAGTTTCGGAAGCTTTTCCTCTTTGTGTATTTAACAGAATCGGTGTCATAATCGTAGAGATACGGGCTTTCCATAAAATTGAGGCCTGCTGTAACTAATGAAGCCTCAGTATTTGGAGTAAATGCAGTGGATGAAGCAATGGCTACTCTTGATTCCGGTTTGCAAATGATATTCACGTTTATGTTGTCCAGGGAATATACATTTTTTATCTGCTTCTTTAAAGATACAGTATTAGTAGTGGCTGTAGGACTAGTAGCAGTTGGATTTGGTTCTTCTCGCTTTGAAACGTCTCTGATACAATTTCCAATAGTATTGATCAATGTTTCGCCCCTTTCTATGAAATTGTTATTGTAACAAATGCCTAATTTTGAAGCAATTTCAATATCGTTAGCTACGCATTGCAAATCTGCGATCAAAGGGTCGCCAATATATTTTTTGGGCATTTTCTTCTTTTTGACAAAACTACGCTTGTCTATACAAGTCGAAAAGGTTTTGCAGGTGCGCCCTTGGCACTTGCCCCGGACCCTTTTGAAGTAATCATGCAAAGTTTGGTCTACTTTGTGAACTGTATCTCTCAGTTTTTTGCCTCCACTGGGATTCATCCAGAAGAATGTCTGTATTTCAGTACAATGATCGTTCATATACTTCGCCAAATTTTCAAATTCGAAAATCAACTCTGAAATAACTGCATCGCTAGCAGCGCACGCTCTACACATTGTCCTATTAGCTTTGCACTTGCAATTACAAACTCTGTCATGTCCGAAATATTTCTTGACTGTGTCCCAGTTTATGTGACGTCTATAGTTTGTTTTGACTCCTGAAGTTTTAGATGGACCACTGAACATATTGGTCTCCCTAATTTTGACATTGTGTCTTGATATAGACTCGTTTATTGCAGTCAAATTCTCGTAAAGTTGCACTAAATGTTTATTCACAGCAGCTACGAAGTCTTTGCTGAGAGTGACTCTGCCAATGGCTTTGCCACTCGTAGTTTCTGCTTTCTGCGTCGCAAATGCTTTAGTTGTAGCCACTTGTCTGATTCTCACTTTAGATAAATCTATATTGCCTGGCAAAGGTTTTAGCGAAAAATTTCCTTTAGCTATCGACCCGTTTGCATCTATAAGCAAGTACATCTTTGGCGTCATCAAATCTTCAGGTTCCGTTGCTGCTGTAGTTGGCCTAGTTTCTTCGAAAGCCTGGACTTGGTACTCCAAGTCTACTGGAGAAAACATCTTCGCTGCGAAGACTCGTCTCACTTTGAAAGAGTCTAGAGATCTCTTCTTGTCTACTTGAAGATTATAGGGTATGGCAATATGAACTTGAATGGAGTTTGAGCCTTGCGTAGACTTTGGAACTGGGGTAGTTGTTGTTGCTGCAGAAGGATGATTGTGGTAATAGTTCTCTGTAAATTCTTGCAGAGCATCACGTTCTTCGTAATTGACTGTGTTTTTGACTAAATCTACAATGACTTCAAGTGCAGCGACATCTTTTGCTGTAAACTTTCCTGCTGGTTGAATATCGCGTTTCTCAAGTTTCGTTTCTGTGGGTTTCGTTTGTAATTTTGGAGTCCCTTTGGCTTTCAGTGTCTCTTTAATCAATAAACTAGATTTTGTGGTGCTAGTGCCTGGCTCGTAGTATATCTGCAATTAAATGACGTCAGCAATTTCATTTTTGAGAGTGATAAACTCTAGGTTTTCTAAATTATAAATTTTTACCTTATTGTCATAAATCGAAGGTTCAAAGTATATTTCTTCGTTGTGTTTTGAATGTGCTTTCTCTTTTGCTTTAGCGGGAATAGGCAAAGAACTTAGAGGATGGCTTTTCGCTGTTGTGGTTTTTGCTGTAGTTATCGGCGTTGTCTGAAAATAATGTTCCTGCTGAAAATTGTTGCGGTTATGTAGCACCGTGAAAACGACATATATTTCGAAACACTTACTTCTTTGTTTAGTTTTCCAGAACTTACAGATGTGTAATTATCTTTCAATGGGGGTATATCTTCACTTGTCATCGGCGGTAGGTACGGTATCTGCAAAAACGATTTCGATTTTATATCTCTTACTATCACTGGAAGTACAAAACCAGCTTGTTTCATTATTATGAATAAAACAAATTATCTTACGTCAGCATCACTGAACAGCATATCGTCATGTGCTTTCACTGTGTTATCTTTAGTCATCGCCGTCAATTTTCTTGTCGTCGCACTATTGGCTGTAGCCTGCAAAAGAATAAGCAACTAATTACCATCGAATTTCAGTCAAATTCTATTAAAAGCAACTCAGACAATCACCCTTTCGACAACCCTGTCGATGTCAAAGGTGTAGTCAACGCTGAAGCCATCTTCAACCGTGCTCATGCCATCTCCCTTTATGTCATCGTCCTTTTTCTGTCTTTTCGGTTTGTGTTCTTCAAATCTGCCTGCAGTTGTATGTTTTTCTACAAAATTAGATTTCAAGTTAACTTTCGGAAACAAACTTAGAACTGTGTTCCTTTAGGTCTAGCGCTACGCACTATATTTAGAGGACAGGATGAAAATTAAGATGATGGGAGGAAAATTCTTCGCCTACCTTCTTTGCTCGGTGATTTAGCTTTTAGAGGAGTAGATGTTGTCTTGGACTTTTTACTCAGAAGCGTTCTTAGTTTCCCTTTTATATCTGAAATTTATAACATTTTAAGTTAGCCAGGAACGTAGTTTCATTGACAGTACATTCATAACGTAATGATTTGTTACTTGAAAATAGCTTTAAGCGTCTCTTCTCTCTCCAATTAGGCATCATCGTTTCTAATCCTTCGTAATTATATGATTTAGTGGATCCCAATTGACCGCTCACTGAAAAACATAGAAATATCGTAGTTAATGATTAAATTTTACGGATTTGCATTAAGTTTCTTTACTAGAATTTGGACAGAAAGTTATATGGATTCGTGTAATAGGTAATCTATCAGTGTACTGAAGACTTGTTGGACTAATAACAGCTTAAAATGGTTGTAAATAATTACCTTGACGCCTCCTTCGTGATTTCATCCGCCAATTCAGCTCCTTCTCAACGTCAGTGTGGTCGGAGATGCTAAAAACTTTACTCGCATTAACAGCTTTATCCACTCCATCCGAAACGTCAATTTTATCCTCAAACGCTTTTAAAATTCCGAACTTATTCAACAATTCTATCAGAGCTAAACCCGACAGGTATTTCATTACGAATTCATTCCATACAGTCTTTGGTGTGGTGGGTATTTCGAATTTTTCTGTAGGCCCTGTGTCTGGCATATAGTAAGTGGGCAGATCAATCTTTATTATCACGTTTGGTCTAGTGCAGTTTTCTACAGCTTCAACTGCTCTTATTACTTTAACAATTTCGCGGATTCTGTCGGACGTACGGATGGTTTGGGTAAGGCTATTTTGGAGCTGAAAATTTTCTTAGAAGACGTTGGTAAAACATATTTATTGAAAACAATTCAATCTTTATTTTGGATTGTTTCGAAATGTATCACCAAGTCAATCTACCATAAAACGGCGAAAATTGTTCATTTCACATAAGAAAAGTTTCAAAATCATTGAAGATTTTCCTCATCATCGCTATTTATTTTGTGGTAGATTGATTTTTGTTAGTGAAATTAGCCATCTCAAGATACATCATTTCTTCAGAGAAACTGACAGACAGTATTATACAATACAGAATTCAAATCATAACTTACTCACTGTCATATGGAGACTGATATTGATCATTTACATTATAATCGGTTACGGGAGTTAATTTGTAGTCACCGTGTTTATCTGTAATTAAAAATTAAAATAAATAAATATTTTAGTGTTAATCTAGCTGTAATAGGTGTTATTATGCAACCAAAAATAAACTCACAAGCTTGATTAAAATGTTTGTCCATTCGTTTCGGTTCGTTGTTGTAAATGATATCATATTTGTAGCTATGGCTGCTTATCCTCACTCTTTTTGGAGGATTTTTAGCATTCAAGTTCTTGAATAACTCATGGTCAATCATAGGATGGAAGGTTGTTGTGGAAATATCATCTGTGATGACATTGTTTTCAAAATTCGGAGTAGTATCAAGAACTGACGTTTTTGGTATCTTTTCATTCTTGTCTTTGTGCTTTTGATTGTAAAGTAAATTGTTGTGTATTTTCTGCACAAAGGCGTGGTTGGCTGCATCATTAGAAGCTTTAGTTGTTTTTGTTTTGGAATGCTTTTTATCAGTAAAATGCTTTGTAGTTGCGTGTGTTGGGATCTCAGTTCTTCTTTTCTCATCCGGCTTACATTTACACTGCTTGTTGTTGTTGTAACCTCGATCGATATCGTTCATGTTAATGATTGTTAATTCAACATCGCTCTGCATGTCATCATCATTATGAGGAGCAATAACCGTGTAATGCACATCTGGATATTGAGTGGTGGAAGGTGTAGCTTTCTTGTCGAAAAATTTGATTTTCTTCTTCACTTTTTCAACTTTGGACATCTTGCGGAACGGTTCGAATGTAAAGAACCGTTCGTTACGCAATTCACTGAATCTCTTTCGCTTCTGTTTATCGTCAGTGTTTTTAGATTTCTCAGCATAAATATTTTTTATTGTAAATTCATCATACGATTTACTCTCACTGGCTACTTTATTATTGTACAGGACACCGATAGGGTATATTGTTGTCAGATGAGCTGGCTTCTCTAGCTTTGCTTTATCTTTCAAGACTGGTTTATTACTTTTCGTATGGCTTTTCTTCCACTCCGTTACTTTTTTGGGCGATTTATTAACGACAAACTGTGGCATCCCAACGAGAGGGGTGGTGACTGATTGGACATCTAGTTGGTTTTCTTTGAGGAACTTCTCGAAATCGTTCATTCTCATTGGCAGAGGTGTGCTGAAGTATTGGAGCGGTGATGGGTTCGTTTTAGCCACCGGTTTTGACTACAACAATAATTGTATTACTTGAAATGATATCAGTGTTTGAAGACATTGATAAATATGGAGTAGGATCACTTACCGCAGCTTGTGTGTGCTGTGGCTTAGCAGAAACCAACGAATTTTTAGCTGTTGAGAAAGATAAGAGTTAAATAATACATAAACAAATGTCAGGAACATAATATAAAAAGGCACTTACACATTTTCTTATGTTTCGGACGTTCTGTGAGGAAGTCAGCTCCATCATCGTAAGCTAGTAGAGTTGTGTCCAAAAACAGAACTGAAGAACCATCTTGATCTCTAGTATTTTTATTTTTAGGCTCTGTAAATAATAGATTACATTGTTATAGAAAACCATTAGACAGCAAAACAATATAATTATTATTTGTTCTTTTAGCATCAAAGATGAAAATAAATATTTACTAATATTTTCTATCCAGAATTCTCCGTTTCTCTTCGTATCGTGAATTTTGTCTTCTATATTATATTTGATTGCAGGCGACTTGAAGTATATTTTGTTCAAATCCTTTAGTAAATCAGAAGCTTTGATATACTTTTCAGAATCGGACTCTGGTTGTTTTATGACATGGAGATATTTAGCTTGTCCTTGAATGATTATATCCTTGCCTTTAGCTACTGTATTATCTTTTAGAGCTACAGTTTTGATTATATTCTGCGTCTTTTTATTATTGTTAGTATTACGAGTTTTGTCCTTCTTGACTTTCATTGCTAGTTTTGCTTTCTTTAACTTGGGTGTGACTCTTTTCATAGACTCATCAATTTTCAAGTAGTCCTTCATTTGCATCAGCTCTCTCTGCATATCCATCATACTCAAAGTGGTAACCTCGGAATCTTGCTTGAGACTTTCAAGTATATTTTCCCATTGTGGACTAGTAAGTTTGTCTGCGTTTAGCAAATCTCCATGCCACATTAATAAATCATTGAAATAATCAGGGTAAGGTTTATAATTGTCTGGTTTGCCGAAATCGTTGAAATTCTGCGTGGGTAATCTAGCGTGTACGGTAACGTAAGCGTTCGCAGACTTTTTTATTCGTTTCTGTTGACTAACGTCAGTAAATGTCTTCTCATTAGAAGTTCTATCTTCTTTGGCTTGTTCCCAAATTTGTGGTATATCAATAACAGGGTTCATTTTATTATTGTGATCGTGGGAAAAGTGCGTTAGCGGAAACTTTGCTATTCTAGTCAGTTTTGTCTGTATTTTTATGTCTTTCGGATCAGCTTTTGCTTTGACTTTGGGTTGTATTGAAACTGTTTGTATATGAGCAGGTACGAAAATTTTCTTGGCTGAAAAGTTATTAGAGAATCTAGTAGTAGGCAAAGTTGGCAAAGTTGGCAAACTGTGGGACGAAGTTGATTCTTCATGCTTTTCTTCGGGTACAGATAGTTTCATTTGTAAACTGTCAATTTCGCTTCTAATATCATCCAGTGATGGTGTCGTCGCTCCGTAATGAGTTTCCAATTTATTTGTGGCTGGATCATAAGTTATTTCCGACATATCTAAACCAGAGTAAGGCTCTTGATAATGTTTGAACGTGTTCGGTTTATTCATGTGGGGTTTTAGCTTGGGAGATTTTCTTGTCGAAGTTTTAAGTGAACCTAAAAAATATAGAACATCGTAGCATTACTATAGCACTGAAATTTGAAACACCAAAACAGAATTCTCAAGTAAAGGACTCACCAGAAAAATCTGAGAGACTTGGGGTTGAAACATTAGATAAAGAAGAGAAGTCGTACATATTTTCAGGAGATGCAATGTGGCTTGCAATAGGGGCTTCAATCGATTGTTCTACTGATGGCTTTGCAGCTGCTTTTGCGGGCCCATTTTGATGAATCTGCGACATTTCTTCGGTGATATTTGGTATTTGTCCCTTTATTTCTTCAAGGCTCATGACTTTATCGTACTTGATTGGTTTGAATGTATCAATATGTGATGTCATCATTTCATAATCTGGCATTTCGTTATCGGGGCTTTGACTTGGTCTATCTATCTGTTTCACTTTGAACAAATCCTTCAGTTTCTTCAAAGGGTTGAATCTTTGCACTCTGTAGCTATAATATTCTCTTTTGGCTCTCGTAGGTTTCTTTTTTTCGTTATGCTTGTTTCGTTTGCGAAATCGAAATTTGTTAAAAAACTTCTTTAGTTTGCTTTTTTTCTGATTATTATCTCGTAATTTGACTATTGCAGTTGGTCTTGGAATTAAATTGACATCAACGTAACCGTAATTTTTGTTTCTAGTCTCTATTACATTTGGCAATGTAGATCGGCGGGTGTTTATTGATGAAGCATACAAATTATGGGTATTCTCAATGTTTGTTTTTGGATTCCTCTTCTCTCTATCTACATCATATAGCTGTTCAGTGTTATCTCTATTAAATTTTGCGTTATGTTTAGAAGTTCGTCTTCCTTTGCCTTTGAAAAATCTATCTACGAGACCTATGGCACCGAAACCTCTGAATATATCGTAATCTTGATTTTTCCCTTTATTCTGCCCCTCCATTTCTTCATCATTCATTTTGTCACCTGAAATAAAATAAACAATCTAAAAATATTTTTTACATCCGGTTATAATAATAATAATAATATAATTTATTTATTCAAGTAACATGACTCATTATATTTTGTTTGTTAAAGTTATGTATCAGTTTTTCTAATTTCAATGAATGCAATGGACATAAATATCATCATTGTTAATCCATCAAAGTGATTAAACGTACCTTGTCCAGGCATGATACTCGTGAATTCTTTAGATTTCCGATCATCCAAAGCCTTTGACAGCTGTTCCAGGTTCACTTCGCCCGACTCATCTTTATTAGACTTATTGCTTTCTCCAGAACTTTCCGCGTTTTCAGTGACACCTTTATTCTTAGGACGTGGAGTAATCGGGCTTTCAGTACCAGATGAGCCAAGATCGGTAATTGGTGATTTTAACTCCACAGTTTGAGAAGTGTGAAACTTTCTTGGTGGGCCATTATCAATGAACAAGTAAAAATGCTTCTTGAACCAGGAATCGTCGCTTTTGGTGGAAATATCCTGATCTTCCATGACGTCATCGTCTGAGAATCTCTTTTTCCGAGACCCAGTGGGTAGCTGTGGTATTTTGTTCAGTATAAACTTTCCAATATCGTCTACGTTATGATGTCTATGCGCTTGGTACCGGACGAGGTTAGAAAAATTCTGGTTGGCCTGCTCTTTTTGGAACTTCAAATAGTGCTTGTACCCGTTTACGTAGTCGTTGTAAGATATTTTGTTGCTCAAGCCTTCGTAGCTTGTATCGTCGCTTGAAGATTCAGTGGGGATATTATCGTTATATGGATTCGTTGTTTTCGAACCATAATCTTGCAAATCATCAGGCAGTATTACATCGTCATACAATTTGTGTATGTTTTCCTTCAGACTAACTCGAGCTAAAGGCTGAGGCGTTCTTTTGTGTAGCTTAAAATAGTCCCGGACTTGCGAGGCGATGGTTGGTGGAGTAGTCAGCATCTTCATGACGTTATCTTGGTGGGTTTTAGATAGGATTTGCTCAAATAACGTTAGCATGACGTAATCATCGAATGTGGATGACGTCGATGCTGAACTAGTTTTCTTTTTCTCAGTTTTGCTACGATTTGGCGTGCGCCGCACTTGCTTTCCTGGATTTCCTTTCTTTTTGGTGCTATGCCTAGCTTTAGTTTTCGCTTTAGGTGTTGACATTGGCGAGGTTACAGCTGTAGGCGCTTGTTTACTATTACTTTGTGTCATCTTTTTAAGTGCCTTATCCGTTTCCTTCTTGATTGTAGTTTTGGCATGGTCTATTTCTTCGTTCAGTTGAGGCGACACTTTCCCTTTAACTTTTTTGATGACTTTCTTCAATTCCCTTTGCAGCATATCTTCAATAGTTTGAGCTATGGTATAGACGTCTTCATTGATAGATCTAGTACCAATTATATGTGTAGGTTCTGTATTCGATATCACTACAGTATCATTTGCTTTTGGTCCTGCTGTACTAGGAGAAGCAGTTCGTTTACTGAAAACGCCGTCACTGTCAATAGAAATATACGTACTGAGAGCATAGCCAGGTGTACTGATGTGTGTCAGTATGGGGTCTGCCCCAAATGTAGTTTCAGTAACGGTGTTTGTAATAATGTCTGTTATAGCGGGGCTTTGTTCTGCCACCATTTGTACAGCTTTGACTTTAATGTCATTCAGTAAAGCTTCAATCTGAGCTGTTCCGAGGAAGTCTACATCTTCAGTAGTGCTTTGAGTAGTAGTTAAAACAGTCGAAGACACAGTAGAGATGTTTTTTAACATACTTTGTGTAACGTGAGTTGGATAAGTATCGGTATTTTTTAATTTCAATCCGTATTCTTTTTTCAGATCATTAATTTTTGTCGTTAACGCCGTCAAAGATTTAGTAAGATTGTCTTTACTGTGGAACGGTTCGTATGTTTTGATTTTGGCCAATTTTAATAGTGATGTAGTTTTAGCGCTGATTGGGCTAAAAATTGATGATGCCCTTGTACTAATGCTCTTGTCAGTTGTGGTGGTATTTGCTATACTTCTCTTCCGTTTTTCTACGTTAGTCTGTCTGTCTCTATGAATACTATGAGTTATTCTCCTTTGAATACCATCTGTAGTATCTTCCGATTTAGAATCTCTGTCTCTATGACGTGATTGGAAATATTGTTTTTGGCGATAACTGGACCGAGGCATGGCTTTCCTTTTGTACACATCGTATTCCGTTTTGTATGCTTTATTCTTCTTATCATTCCCTTTGAATCTGAACTTATGCCAGAATCCTAATCGTTTCGTTGTTTTTGGTAACGGCTTCCCTATTTTTGCCAGTTTGGTTACCTCGATCGAGTCAGACACCAGCTTACCCGCTGTGCTCTGTTTTGGTTCTTCTTTCTTCTGTGCTTTGGGTGCATCTTCTCTTTCTTCTTTTCTGTAGTAACGGTGGAATCTATCATGTTTCGGCTTGTATTCTCTTCTGTATTCCAAATCGTGGACGCTGTCGACTATGTCATCAACCGTATCGTAGTATGCTATGTTTTTAGATATAGTGTGGCTATTAATTAGCACCATCAGATAAAATAAACTGGAAAACAAAAATGAATTAGTACTTATTGCGGTGAGAGAAAGAACACATCTATGTAAAATTCTGGTGACAGTATCATTTCAGCAACTAAAGGGCATTTAAGGGAACATCAAAAATATTCATCTTATCGTGTAACGGATTAATATAATAATAGTAAGATGGTGTGTGCTTAGCTTTATTTAATTAACAAAGTCATCATCAAACACCAGTGACACTTTGACAATCTTGCTGATGTTGTCACAAGTTGTACAAAATAAATAAGACATTAAGTAGGAATATTAACAGTATTTTCAGGGTTTCAGCAAGGAAAACCAATCGTTTTGGTACCTTATTGACTGTTGACAAGTATGAAGATTTGTATTTGTAGTTGTAAGGAAATATTGAGGGACTTACCATAAAAAATTGAAAAATAACATTTGCTATGTATTAAGTACTCCAAACCAAGCATGATACCACAAAATAAACCTAAACATAACAAACACAATAAATTCTCTCACAATGTCACTGAATCACTGAAATTCGCGTGATTCGATTGTTTTCATAATGACATGCGTCATTTTTCTACTTCTAAATATTTTGAGTGATGAGCGCTGTAAGAAGTTTCGAGATTGTCTATGAAAGAAATTAAATTCATTATTAAAGGGACCATTATGGTTATAGGGCTACGTTGCCCTTAACACCGACGACTACCTATTTTGTAAAAGTTTAGTCATTCTTCTTCTTTTCGTGTCGACAACAAACCTACACAGTGTCAGCCCAAAACTCCGCCACAAGAGTGGCGTTGTCATCAGCACTCATCAAACCCTCCTGAGTGCAGTTGCTTATTAGTCATTTATTTCAGTTAATCTTATCTCTAATTCCATTCGTTGTTTATTATGAGTAATGTTTCTAAGATCTCCGCTTTTTTTAAGCTACTAATCCTTAACGGAGCCAAGTTACTTAGTTCCACGGGTAGTTAAACTGACACTGGACTGGACCCCTAGTCAGGAGGAGTTCGACGCTAGCGTTGGGTTTGGGTGATAGCGTAGGCTGTAGGCGGTATGGGTCAAATAATAAACAGATTCATTTCTTTGATAACGCAATTTATTAAATCAGTATTTCTGCACAATCATACAAATAAAATTAGTACTTAATGAATACTCAGAAGGTATATAGTTTGTTAAGAGAATTGATTCTTAACGAATATCCTCACATCGTACTCCAGGCCGGTGCCTCGCTCGCTCTGCATCCTGATGTTGACGAACGAATGATCAAGTCCACCTGCTGTGATGGTCGCTGATGCCCTGCTATGGAGGTTGTCCAGCACTTCTATACCCTGGGGATAGAGAAGACAGTTTAAGGTGTTCGTTAGTAGGTCTCAGCCAAATGACGTCTTCTGCTGGACAAAAACCTCCCTCAAGAATTTCCGCAACGACTGGTATTGCGCTGCCCGCATCCAGGTGTTTTACCAGGTGTTAGTCTGGTGAAGCACCTGGATGGCAATCAGATCTTAACACATTGATCGCCATCGCCATCGCCAACGCGCACGCGGGCTGCACGCGTTGGTTAGACCGAAGAGTCTTGGGTTCGATTCCAATCTTAGACATAAGATTTTTTAAAGTTTTTCAACAATGTTTAAAGGCTAACTGGAATATAAATTATGGAATTTATTTATAGCAAAAGGAATTTTGGCCTTTGCCTTTAAATAGAGAAAGCTAAATAGACTGTATCTTCTCAGTAATTTATGTGACTTGAAATAAAATATCTGATCTATTATTGGCTTGGAGAAAGATAAAGAGCTAGCATTTATGTTTGTGAACTTTAGATTATACACAGAAAACATCTGACAGAAGCCCTTTTGTGTTTCTAACTCACCACAATTTTCTGATACTCCGGCCCAGAGTAAGCGTACTGCTTGACTCTGACCATGAAGGGGAAGTAGCTGTAGTTCAGCACATCTTCCTTAACCATGTACCCGGTCTGTGGAGTCCCCACGATCAGGTCGTAGGAGCTGGCGAGCCAGAGCTGTGATATGATGAGGAGGAGGGTAGACTTCATAGTTTTTGCTGAAAATATTTCGGAAAATAATGAAATTCTTCTTCGTGTGTAGTAATTATTAAGGTGATTACGGAGTTTTTTTTGCAAATAAGATTTTAAACTTAAGCATAAAATATTTTGTGGTGAGATTACTCGTAACACAGTACAGTACACACTTTTAACAAGCAGAATATTCATTTAGGGGAAAGTAGTACGAGATGATCCCCTTAAGCGGGAATCGCTGTAAAATACATATTTTTCAAGGTAAACCAAAAATAAAGACGATTACTACTAGTATATTTATCTATCCAACTTTCCTTATACTCGAAACCAGAAATTAATTGAGGTTTCATTAAAATATTTCATTTTTTGCAAAACCTTACAAAGTGATCATCTTGTACACCCCTGTGGGTAAGATGATCCCCCAGGTAGGGGTAAGATGATCCCTATGATTCTGTTCTATGATCTATTCTTTTCTGGTTATATTCCTTTCGGAGTACCTAATTATGCGAACAAATCGTTAAAAAGTTAGAAAAGAAAAACATTTACGAATTAAATAACGAAAATAACTGATTCTTTCTTAGTACCTGCTAAAAAGCGTTTAAATAATTGAAACGCTTTTTGGCTGGAGCTGTGTTGAATATATCACAAATAAATTCACCTGCTTCATCACCCTCTACCCCAGCACATGCTTTATGGCCCCATTTTCCACATGCATAACATTTTATCCATCCTTCACCCTTGGTATCGCTTGAAAACTTTTCTGTTCAGTACAGCCACTCAGTATCATCTCCTTCAGACTCAGGTGAGTTATATGAAGTTCTCTTTTTTTTATTTCACTTCCCTTTACCTACTCCATTGACTTTTTTGTTTTAATTCCCAGGGATCATCTCGTACATATAGGAAGGGATCATCTTGACCCAAGTCCCACTTTTTGTTAAATATTTGCTAAAATAATCTACAAGTACGCGGCTACGTTTTTATGGCCAAAATATTAAAATTAAACATAATAGAAAGCCTAACGACAACAGTAATTACATTTAACATTGTTTGAATAAAAGTAACATAAGCTCAAAGTCATGCCTATTTTAGATCAGAAGTACACAATTTTTCTTTTTTCTCGTCAAATTCGATGTATCGCTCACGCCACCATTACGATTTGACTGAGGCGGGGATGTGTCCAGAGCTATGTTTTACCAGTGAAAGAAACTAAATGACGTTAGTGGTTTCAGCACAATCGCGAAAGATCATCTTACCCCAGGGGATCAACTCGTACTACTTTCCCCTAATTATGTGATGATCATAGTTAGCTGAGTAATTTGGGGAATACCAATACAATTCTTAAAAAAAAATCACTTCTGGAGGAAATCGAACCTACAACGCTAGTATACCTTTAATTATGTCTCCATAGCTCAGCGATCAGAGCAGTCGCTCGGCTAGCGAAAGGTCGTGAGTTCGATTTCCATTTGAGACTATGATTTTTTTCAAGTTTTCAATAAATAGGTCTTACTCTAGTTTCAATTCATACTAATGAAACGTGTTTGAACGGCATGGTTTAAAACATAACAATGTGCACTTACCAGATTCGGAGTAAAATACTTTTACTAATCCCAATCCCAATATCCCAACTAATATTATAAATGCGAAAGTAACTCTGTCTGTCTGTCTGTCTGTCTGTCTGTTACGCTTTCCCGCTTAAACCTCGCAACCGATTTTGATGAAATTTGGCATAGAGATAGTTTGAGTCCCGGGAAAGAACATAGGATAGTTTTTATCCCGGTTTTTGAAACAGGGACGCGCGCGATAAAGTTTTTCTGTGACAGACAAAATTCCACGCGGGCGAAGCCGCGGGCGGAAAGCTAGTTTTAAATTAAATAAATTATAACACAGAATGTTTAAAACTCGCTGTCTTGCCTGAATGATAACTGAATATTGTGATAAGTATGTCGTTTGCATCTGGTACAGAATGAACTTCGGGATCGGGACATCCCGCAGTTCGAATGTACCGAGATTTTCCTTATTTGCTTCTCATTTAGTTCAAGAGATAGCAAAAATCCCCTGGCCCAGAAACATCTTAAGCTTCTGTCTTACAGTCGGCACTTGGTTTAGCGAACATAGTTTAGGTATACAATACTCATTATTATTATGGTTTAGTTAGGGCAACGAATGCTGATTATCGATGGCAAACTGATAGTTTATCACTATCGAATTATCCGATACTACTGGTAAAGCGCATAACTGAATACTTGGGTTCCTGCGGTAGTGAAGTATTGCTGAAGGGTGTGTTTTTGTGACGTAAAAAATGAACGAAATTCAAATTACAGACTGCTTCATATGACGTGCTTAGAGAGCTCTGACATCACACGATACCTCTTCTGCACTGCTCCACTATGCAGTTAAGCACTAAACCTATAGTCCTATAGTTACAGTTGCTGCCTCTTTCACTCTTCATCTAAATTGCTTCAGGTGGGAATCGAATCAGCTGCCAGAGCGGTCTTGGGTCAATTTTGCATCGATGCAGTTACAGAAGTGAGCTATACTACGAGTATCAATGGTAGAGACAGTCCTTTACAGTCTCTATTTTCATCTACAGATGCAACCCATCACCCATGGTATAGGTATGATAAATAAAACACAGTAAGTATGTTTTGTCTAGAATCTATTGAAGGGTTCGACGTAGATCCCAATGTTGTAGTCCAGGCCCGAGCCTCGCTCGCTCTTCATCCGCAAGTTGACGAAGGCCTGGCCCACGCCGCCTGCTGTAATGTTCATGGATGCCTTGCTGTGCAGGTTGTCTATGGCCTGGATGCCCTGGAATAATGAAGGAAAGACAATCTTTAGTTTGTCTTGAAGAAAATAAAGAAAAAAGACACGGGACTATTCCCACCTCTCGTTTTCATTGCTGCTACTCCTGTGTAGCCAGGATCTAGAGCTTGACCGCCGATAACCCAACCAGTGAAGGTCAAGTTTATCCCGGGGGAAAGTTTAACTGTCATTGGACCCGCAACGAAATTAATCAGAAAAAAAGATAGACAGACAAAAGGGGCAAAAAGGCACCCGCTCGTAAATAGGTACAACATTTGTGCCAAAAAAAGCTCAGTAAATCGAGATGTGTCAGCTGACACTGATTTTCAGCGGTAGCCTACAGCCGTTGAGCATCTAATTATCTAAAAAAGCTAACAAATATGACTATGGCTAATAAATAGAAGACCTTTAACAGTTACCAGCATCCGTAGATAAAGCAAAATCTGTGACATCTAATTTCTCAATCGATTAACGGAGCAAAAAGGTTGACCATCATCATTTAATCAATTCAGCCAGGCCCTTCTTTTTCACTGGGCATATTGAGCACGTGTTCAGGGCCCCGTGCGAGACCGAGGGGGACGACTCTGCTCAATTAAAAGACCTTTTTTCAGATGATAAGGACCCCCTTGATACTGACGTGCCCAGGGCTAGTAGGTTAAAGACGGCCTTGATTTTTTTTTATGTGACAGGAGGCAAACGAGCAGTCGGATCACCTGATGGTAAGTGATTACCGTCGCCCATAGACACCCGCAGACCCAGGGGCGTTACAGGTGCGTTGCCGGCCTTTGAGGTGAAGAGACGCTCTCCTCTTGAAAGCTTGCAGGTCGTATCCGTCCGGAAACACCGCAGACGACAGTCCATTCCACAGTTTGGTTGTACGGGGCCGGAAATTTCTAGAGAAACGTACTGTTGTGGACTGCCAACCATCTAAGTGATTTCAGCCTCATGAACATTTAGGCCTCCCCTAATAATCCCCTAAAAAGGCCGGTTTGTTTCCTGCAATCTATAAAAGGTGTCTCTACCTTGTGGGCAGACGTCTCACGCTGCACTTGGCATATTCAGAACCTTGCTTACCTTGTATACCTACCTAACTCGTGAATGTGTAATATGTAGCGAAGCTTAAAGAAGTTATATTATGTTTGAGATGATTTATTTATTTATTTATTCATGAATAGAACGGTAGTACCAATTACACTATTCAAACAAGACAAAACTAAGTTCAGATAATGTCCACTTAACTTAACATAGTCCAACGGCGTCTGTGTCAAGACTAGACAATGAAAATGGGTGAAATGGTTCCGAGGTGAAATGAGGGTACTAAAAAATCCACTTTGTTCCCCTGGGTGAACAAAGATACCTAAGTTCAACCACACCAACACGTGCAGATCGCCATTAGCCAATGACATAAATGATCGATTGATGTTTTTAGGCTACCTACTCATGATGTTTCTTTTGCACCAGAAATTGCATTGTTGTACTGGTTTTTCTTTTCTCTGCAAGTTACACACTTAATTTTATTGGTTTTCCAAGATACAGGCTTGGCCTAGTTTGGAAACCTCTGTATATTTACTTTGTGTCTCCTTCAGCAATGCACTATTTATATTTATATTTTTATTGTGTTACTATAATGAGGGCTATCGTTTTTATACTTAACAGTTGGCACCACTGGCGATTGACAGGACCTTACTCTACAGTGGCGCCATCTTGATGAGTGCAAATACGATAGTCCTCCTACCACTTTAGCGCTCACAAGTTGGCGCCACTGTCTTCGCTACTAGCGATATGAAGGGGAAGTAGCTGTAGTTCAGCACGTCTTCCTTCACCATGTACCCGGTCTGTGGAGTCCCCACGATCAGGTCGTAGGAGCTGGCGAGCCAGAGCTGTGATATGATGAGGAGGAGGGTGGGATTCATGGTTTTGGCTGAAAATATTTCGAAAAATAATGAAATTCTTCTTCGTGTGGGTTAATTAAGTATTAAGGGGATTACGCAGTTTTTTTTCAAATAAGATTTTAATACATATTTTGTGGTGAGATTACTCGTAACACAGTACAATACACACTTTTAACAAGCAGAATATTCATTTAATTATGTGATGATCATAGTTAGCTGAGTAATTTGGGGAATACCAATACAATTCTTAAAAAAAAATCACTTCTGGAGGAAATCGAACCTACAACGCTAGTTTACCTTTATTGATGTCTCCATAGCTCAGCGATCAGAGCAATCGCTCGGCAAGCGAAAGGTCGTGAGTTCGATTTCCACTTGAGACTATAATTTTTTTTCAAGTTTTCAATAAATAAATAAAGGTCTTACTCTAGTTTCAATTCATACTAATGAAACGTGTTTGAATGGCATGGTTTAAAACATAACAATGTGCACTTACCAGATTCGGAGTAAAATACTTTTACTTCTTTAAATTAAATAAATTATAACACAATGTTTAAAACTCGCTGTCGTGCCTGAATGATAACTTAATATTGTGATAAGTATGTCGTTTGCATCTGGTACAGAATGAACTTCGGGATCGGGACATCCCGCAGTTCGAATGTACCGAGATTTTCCTTGTTTGCCATTTGGTTGAAGAGATAGCAAAAATCCCCTGGTCCAGAAACATCTTAAGCTTCTGTCTTACAGTCGGCACTTGGTTTAGCGAACATAGTTTAGGTATACAATACTCATTATTATTATGGTTTAGTTAGGGCAACGAATGCTGATTATCGATGGCAAACTGATAGTTAATCACTATCGAATTATCCGATACTACAGGTAAAGTGCATTAACTGAATACTTGGGTTCCTGCGGTAGTGAAGTATTACGGAAGGGTGTGTTTTTGTGACGTAAAAAATGAACGAAATTAGTAATTACAGACTGCTTCATATGACGTGCTTAGAGAGCTCTGACATCACACGATACCTCTTCTGCACTGCTCCACTATGCAGTTAAGCACTAAACCTATAGTCCTATAGTTACAGTTGCTGCCTCTTTCACTCTTCGTCTAAATTGCTTCAGGTGAGAATCGAATCAGCTGCCAGAGCGGTCTTGGGTCAATTTTTCATAGATGCAGTTACAGAAGTGAGCTGTGCGAATATCAATGGTAGAGACAGTCCTTTACAGTCTCTATTTTCATCTACAGATGCAACCCATCACCCATGGTAGAGGTAATATGGTAAATAAAACACAGTAAGTATGTTTTGTCTAGAATCTATTAAATGGCTCGACGTAGATCCCGATGTTGTAGTCCAGGCCCGAGCCTCGCTCGCTCTTCATCCGCAAGTTGACGAAGGCCTGGCCCACTCCGCCTGCTGTAATGTTCATGGACGCCTTGCTGTGCAGGTTGTCTATGGCCTGGATGCCCTGGAATAATGAAAGAAAGACAATCTTTAGTTTGGCTTGAAGAAAGTAAAGAAAAGACACGGGACTATTCCCACCTCTCGTTTCCATCACTGCAACTCCTGTGTAGCTAGACCGCCAAAAAAACCCAACCAGTGAAGGTCAAGAAAGTTTATCCCGGGGGAAAGTTTAACTGTCATTGGACCCCCAACGAAATTCAGAGGAACATAGTAAAAAGGCACATAGGTACATACAACATTCGTGCCAAAAAAAAAGCTCAGTAAATCCGAGACACACGCTAGTCCTGTTGACACTGCCGTTGTGTTGCACCTACAGCCGTTGAGTATCTAAGGTAAGTGCCCCCTACTTCGGTATATTAAGGCTCTTACGACTTTAACATTTTATTTAAAAATAACCAAGCATGATATCAGTATAAAAGCTTTTGTATGCTAAACTTTGGTCTTTTGACAGTAAGTTAATACATAATTTATAGTTATATAGTTTGAACTTCTTTTTATATTAATTGTTCTGCGGACCTCTTGTTTGGATCCTGTTTCGTGAGAAAATTTTGCTCTGTTTCTAAGTTCGTGAACTCATGTCCCCTATTTCGGGATAACGTTTTATGCATCCAGTTAGGATATTTTAATAATGATTAAGTGTTTAATAAATTTAAAAACGATAATAAAAGTTTAGAATAAAATAATTATGTGAAATTGACGATATTACTTACCTGAAATATTCATAAGAAATAATGCGAGTCTAGTATAATATTTTGATTTGTTATTTCTAACAGTATGTGAAAATATTTATATAACCATTAGAAATGTAGGGGGGGGGGAACTTAACCCTCCCCCCCCCCTTCGTACCCATAAAATTTAGATTTGTAACCCACCCCTTCTCTCCATAATCCCACCCCTGGAGCTGTTTCAAGTGAGGGTAGCCCCCCCCCCTGAAAATAACCCCAGATATGCCAATGACTCATAATAAAAAGTAAGTAAATAATTAATTTCTTAGGTAGGTAAGTATTNTTTAGATTTGTAACCCACCCCTTCTCTCCATAATCCCACCCCTGGAGCTGTTTCAAGTGAGGGTAGCCCCCCCCCCCTGAAAATAACCCCAGATATGCCAATGACTCATAATAAAAAGTAAGTAAATAATTAATTTCTTAGGTAGGTAAGTATTACAAAACTAAGAAATATGTCGATTTCTTTGATGGTATGTGTCATAAAAGTATCCAACACCATACATTTATGTATCACGAACTTGGAAAAAAGTAGCAATAATACTGTTCCTTGTTTCGTGATACTGATTATTCTAAATTCCCCAAGTAAAATTCATGGATTATTGTCAAAATGTGTCAATTAACTATTATCTAACCCATATACAATACAAATAAACAAAGATAAATAAAACAAATCGAAATAAAACCAAAATTATGCTGGTACTACTTATGCTAATTTATCTTAAAATTGGTCATATATGTGAACTTCAAACTCATGGCATATAAATTCTAGTGAACGAAACATATACCGAATTTAGGTCATGAGAAACTTAAATAAATGCATTATTTGTTTCATAACTTACATTTAAATTATCATAAATACGTAATTATTTAAAAACCAAGCATCAAAATGTTGTCCATAATATCCTTGAATCGGTAGTGTCACGAAATAGGGGACACCCGAAAAATAATATACGCTATTTCGTGAGTCAATTAATCGCAATTTTAAAGGAATTCTACGTTTTCATATAACTTTTTTCTAAGCCAAATCAATTGTCAAGGAATACATGAAATCACTATTACAAGTTTTATTTAAATGGACGTTCCTTCGCCTTTTTATAAGCTTAAGAAGTTGGAGCGCTAACCTTACGATGAGAGCAACCTTTGCACGCCGCACGGCTGTTTTTGGCTCTCTGAGAGTTTGAAACTTCGTATTGCTCTCATTTTTGGCGCCACAATGTTGGTACTTGGTTTTTTAGATAGCTTATACATATAATAGAGTTTTTGTAGTAATGAAGAATTTTTATAAATAATATTCCATTTGCTTATTATTTGAGCTAGAAAAAAAACTTACGTACTATCACGAACTAGTAGCCGTTTACCTTAATTAGCTAAAAAAAAAGTAACAAATATGACTATGATTTCTAAACGGAAGACCTTTAAGAGTTACCAGCATCTGTAGATAAAGCAAAATCTAATTTCTCAACCGATTAACGGAGCAAAAAGGTTGACCATCATCATTTAATCAATTCAGCCAGGCCCTTCTTTTTCACTGGGTATATTGAGCACATGTTCAGGGCCCCGTGCGAGACCGAGGGGGACGACTCTGCTCAATTAAAAGACCTTTTTTCAGATGATAAGGGCCCCCCTTGATCCTGATGTGCCCAGGGCTAGTAGGTTAAAGACGGCCTTGATTTTTTTTATGTGACAGGAGGCAAACGAGCAGACGGATCACCTGATGGTAAGTGATTACCGTCGCCCATAGACACCCGCAGACCCAGGGGCGTTACAGGTGCGTTGCCGGCCTTTGAGGTGAAGAGACGCTCTCCTCTTGAAAGCTTGCAGGTCGTATCCGTCCGGAAACACCGCAGACGACAGTCCATTCCACAGTTTGGTTGTACGGGGCCGGAAGTTTCTAGAGAAACGTACTGTTGTGGACTGCCAACCATCTAAGTGATTTCAGCCACATGAACATTTAGGCCTCCCCTAATAATTTCCAGGTTGGCCGGTTTGTTTCCTGCAATCTATAAAAGGTGTCTCTACCTTATGGGCAGACGTCTCACGCTACACTTGGCATATTCAGAACCTTGCTTACCTTGTACCTAACTCGGGAATGCGTATGTACCGAAGCTTAAAGAAGTTATATTATGTTTGAGATGATTTATTTATTTATTTATTCATGAATAGAACGGTAGTACCAATTACACTATTCAAACAAGACTTAACAAAGTTCAGATAATGTCCACTTAACTTAACATAGTCCAACGGCGTCTGTGTCAAGACTAGACAATGAAAATGGGTGAAATGGTTCCGAGGTGAAATGAGGGTACTAAAAAATCCACTTTGTTCCCCTGGGTGAACAAAGCTACCTAAGTTCAACCACACCAACACGTGCAGATCGCCATTAGCCAATGACATAAATGATCAAAAACCTGTTACATTGATGTTTTTAGGCTACTTACCTACTCATGATGTTTCTTTTGCACCAGAAATTGCATTGTTGTACTGGATTTCCTTTTCTCTGCAAGTTACACACTTAATTTTATTGGTTTTCCAAGATACAGGCTTGGCCTAGTTTGGAAACCTCTGTATATTTTTTAAACTTTGTGTAAAAACTCAGTAAAACTCATTTATTTCTGTAAGTAGGCTTCAAAAAAGCACTTTTACAGCAATCTCCTTCAGCAATGCACTATTTATATTTATATTTTTATTGTGTTACTACAATTGTAAAAGTTTTGTGCAAAAAAGAAATATATTATTATTATTATTTTTGTACGCTTTGGAGCTCACGGGTCAAAAGTGGCCCGGTCCTTTTATTATTATTTCTTTGTTCATTTTTCTTTCTTATTTTTAATTTTTTATTTTTACAATGTAATTATCAAAAAATAAAAATACATTATAAAAACAAAAATCTTAAAAATAGTTAACGCGCTGGCAGCGGAGCAGGGCCCAAGCTACCGGTGGTCAGGGTCACAGGCTGAGGAACCTCCGGATAATGCGTGCCGTGCTGAGGATCACCGCCTTTTGCATCTGACCCTTGAGCCAACCATCCAGCGAGAGCTTCTTTAGATGTTGGTCGAAGCTCTTCGCTATTAGCCCGTTTGCCGAGACAACTATCGGGACAATGATGTGTGGTTGAAGCATGTTCGGCCAAACCAACGTGTGCAGCCCGCGTGGACGATGGCAACGGCGATGGCAATCCTACTGATTTCTACTGATTGCGATGGTTTGGTTGAACCTTTACCTTGCACTCTTGACTTACCCGGATCTTCCGGTTATCCGGCTGCGTGTAGAAGTAGTATTTGACTCGTTTCTTGAAAGGGATGGCGTTGTACTGCACTGCTTCGCTGGAAGCCAGCTCTGCGTGGCTGATGTCTCCCACCAGCAAGTGTTCTGCAGCCTGTAGAGCATCACAGTAAAAAAAACTCAGTAAAACTCATTTATTTCTGTAAGTAGGCTTTAAAGAAGCACTTTTACACGTCCCAGTATTAACCCTACCACTGCTTCAGGACAATAAATGGGCCAGTGCTGAGAAGAAACAGAGCAAGAAACTCAGACACTATTGTCAGCCTCTTTTTCAAAGGTTTACAGGTTTTCAAAATACCTACATAGTTATAAATATTTATGCGAGCTAGGCAGTTACGCATCCCAAACATTTTTATCTTTTAATTTAATTATTTTTAACAAGGGTAGGTATTTAGAACAAAATAGGAGAGTTTACTAAATCCTAAATAATAATCCCTCGGACAGACTTCATCATCATTTCAGCAATAGGACGCCCACTGCTGAACATAGGCCGCCCCAATGATTTCCATGTTGATCGATTGGTAGCGGCCTGCGTCCAGCGCCTTCCTGCTACCTTTATGATGTCGTCGGTCCACCTTGGCCTCCACTCCAGAACCTTGCTGCCCCATCGGCCGACATTTCTGCGTACTATGTGCCCTGGCCATTGCCACTTCAGCTTGCTAATCCGTCGGGCTATGTCGGCGACTTTAGTTCGTTTATGGATATCCTCACCTCAATTGGTTGGTTTTATTGACGGTCAAGCTGTAGATCCTGGCTACACAGGAGTTGGGCTACATCGGGGGGAACGAGTGGTGGTGGAAGCCGTGTACCTACCTACCTACCTTACACAAGGTGGACCGACGACGTCATTAAGGTAGCAGGAAGGCGCTGGACGCAGGCCGCTACCAACCGGGCAACATGGAAATCATTGGGGGAGGCCTATGTTCAGCAGTGGACGTCTGTGTGCCCATTTAATATAAATCCTCGGTGAAAAAATTAGTTATTTACTTATTTAGTCATGTGTTTTCAATAAGTAATAAGTACTTACGACATAGTATGAAGTCAGCGTGATGATGAGCAGCAAAAGCAGGGTCTTCATGTTTTGAATAGTTTTTACTGAAAATTAAATGAGCGTTTTGAATTTCAATTTGTTTATTTTAAACTTTATTGCTCACAGTATCAGAGTACCAAGGGCGAACTTAATGACATAAATGGCATTCTCTCCAGTCTATTACGTTTTGTAAAACAATGTAGAGATGCTTCTCTTAGATGCCACATAACTAAATTACTTACTTAATAAGAAATCGTAAATTAACTTAGGTGATTTTTATTGTGGGCAGGCCTCCCACTAGGTGGACCGACGATCTGGTAAAGGTCGCGGGAAGTACCTGGATGCAAGCGGCGCAGGACCGGTCTTTGTGGAAATCCTTGGGGGAGGCCTTTGTCCAGCAGTGGACGTCTTTCGGCTGAAACGAACGAACGAACGAACGATTTTTATTATCAACATAACATTTGACATTCAATATCTACGAGTAGTAAGTAGGTAAGATGTTTCTTTAAATACAGTACCTAATCGTTATACGTAATATTTTCCTTATATGATAAAAATAACACGTATTTTAATTGTGATCGAAACATGATTGTCTTCTCCGATCTATTGTGTATAATCACATACCTACGGGAGTTGTTATATTATACCTACCCTTGTTATATTGCAGCTAAATTGAAATATTTATTTCCACTAAGTAATAAATAAATAAACAAACAAATAAATAGGATAATACACTCGTATGTAGCTATGTTGGCAATTTGTATTAAGAACAAAGAAAAAGATGTCTATATTTAAATATCTATTATTACTTTTGCAACTGTAATTTCTATGTAGTTAGATAAATAAATAAATAAGTGGGTATCTAATTAATACCTGTGCCAATAGATAGGTACTTAGCTAAAGTTACTTACTTACCTAAGTTGTATCAAAAAACCACAGGTTTTTAGTAACACTTGTAAATTACACCAGAATATTATTATTTAAAGTTACTTAATAAGTATTGTAACAATGCGTGCGATCAAAAGTGAGTCTCAGTTGATAGTGAGGTCAGCTTTGATGCTATCTGAGGTCTGAGTAGGGTGACCAAGCGGTTGGGGACTGGGGAGACAGACAATGTCATACACCAAACTTAAGGCAAGAAAGAAACATATTATGACAAACTTAGATATGAAAAAATAGTCTTTGCCTAGATGCGTTTCCACAAGCCTAGGTGTAACCTAGTACTCGGGTAAAGGTAACAATTTTTTAGCTTTACCAAAACTAAGATAAGACAGACCAACAGTGGACGTTATTTGATTGACACAAACGTAGACACTGTCGAAACTATAGCCTGACCAGGAACATAAAAACCCTCGCCATGTTGCGGAAAATTAATGGTACTAATTTCTTTTAATGGCAACAGTAACTGAAAACTTCATTGACATGTCACCTTACATGTCAGTCTATTGTTGTCAAAGTGTAAACAAACTTTATTTTAAATGTGCGCAATAGATTTTGTGAATTAAATTGCTAAAATATTTTTATAGTCGTGAAAGAAAAGTGGTTCACAATGTGTTAAAGTATTTGTCGAAGAGAAATACTAAGGGTTCGGACAATATTTTCTTTGAATAATGTTTCCGACAAAGGTTGTCAAATTGACTGACATGTTTATCGTATAGTACAGTCAATTATGAAAATTAGCTGTGGTTTGTTTCAACTACCTATTTTAAAGTTTTTTGTAACTTTGTAAGTGTTGAATTTTATAGAATTGGGAAAGAAGTACCGAGTTTGAAGCGTTCATGAGCAGACATTGTAGTTGAATATTCAAGTTTAGAATTTGATTATTGATGAATAATAATAAAATCTTACTTGCTCGATTGATGGTTTCATTAAATTTATTTAAACCAGTTTACCTGTTTTATAAATATTTTTTGTTAATTTATGAAAATATTAAATTAGCCCATAATCCTGAATCCTGATACATAAAGTTAGCCTATTAATTTAATACAGGTACGACTGTACCCAGTGTTGCACTATCAAATGCAATTGACGCGCCTCTATGCCAGGGTTTTTATGTTCCTGGTCAGGCTATAAATATATTTAGTCAAAGTCCACTCCAAAAACTAAATGTTTCTTTATTTAAAACGACAATCATATTATTCGCAGACTCCCACGTAGGTACTTATTTGTGAAGTCATTATTATGTTCTTAAAATGGACTTGGTCAACAAAAACTGATGGTCACCCTAAAAGGTCAGCCAGATTGTATAAATATTTAATCGTAAATTCTGATGACGAGGTTTCTTAGAAACTATAGAATCGACGCAGCTTGAATGCCAATGATTCATGCTTAGATCTTATTGAGATCGTTCTACTAAGGCCCGCCATACACGGACAGCTCGAGCAGTTAGTCAGTGATCAACATACACGGACCGCTCTTGCAGTCAAGAGTCAACAGCTTGAAGCTGCCAGTGATAACTGCTCGAGCAGTTGGTATTAACTGGTCAACAAATCGCAAGCGCGCGCGCCGTGGAATGAAATCAGTTGCAACTGCTCGAGCGGTTCGTGTATGTGCGTCCATAGAACTCTGCATCAGTTCACTGTGCAGTCGCAGCTTGAAGCTGTCGACCCTGACTGATTCAAGCGGTCCGTGAATTCCGGCCTTAGTGTACTATGACAGCTTTAGTTAGACTATACGGTTTTGTTGGAAAATCGTTTCTATTACTATTACATAAGTTGCTACAGTATTAAACTTGTGCTGTTATTTGTACATACAAATAAAATAATCTAATTTTATTATTTTATTTTATTTTGTTTTATTCAGAAAACAAACAGCTTACAAATATATAAATTGCATAGATACAATGTAGTTGGTCAAAGCCTATAGTAGCCTATAGTAATTTGTCTGTATGTTATTTAAGATTTACTTACAAATAAATCGAAGTAACAATCCGGTACTTGTATTGGTTTAGTACAGTACGTACCTAGTTATGTTTGTTCCAGCTAATCTTCAAAACAGTTGGAGAGATTTTGTTAGTCTATACTTTTACATTGGCAGCTGACAGCCGAATTCTTATGAAATTCGTAACTTGACCCTAAATTTTAAGTACTGCGACAGACTGAGACCCAGTTGAGCGAAGCCAAAGGGGACGAGTATGTAAGTAAACATCATGCCCCGGCAAGGAAGGCATTTTTTCCTTAGCATGTTTATGAGGGCATGGATGGGAGACAGAGAGAGGGGGAATGGCGAGAGAAAGAGAGAGAGAGAGAGAGGGAGATATAGGGGAAGGGAGAGACTAATGACCTGATGATGATGAGCGAATCTTAGTTCAATCTTAAGCCTATCAAACTTATGAAATAGGTAATTATAAACAACAAAACTTGAGGTTATCATCAAAAACACTTTATTCACAAGTCTTGGTTCAAAAAGTTCGAATAGTCCTTCTCTAAAGCCCTCAACGCAGCCTCTGTACTAAGCAACGCGTTGTGTTTCCTCAGTGTATCTATGAGAGCGTTCTTCTTGTCTATGTCGCTTTTGAGACACTTCAGTTTCGATTCCAGAGATGAGATGGCGCTTTGGTGCGACGCTGCGAGACTGCGGGTGGAGTCGCGGAAAGCCTGGTGAAGAAAGAATACTTAAGAGAGGCAAGTTCCAAGTATCCGACAGCTAGGATTTTAGGAGAGTGAGAAGAAATAGGGAGAGGCAAAGAGAGGGGGGAAAGTGGGAGAGATTAAAGGGGGAGCGCTTTTAATAAAGTGTGAGAGATATAGGGGGAGAGAGAGAGGGAGGGGGAGAGAGACAGGGAGGGGAGAGAAAGAGGGAGGGAGGGGGAGGGGAGGAAGAGAGAGGGAGGGAGAGAGGGGGACCACCTGCTTCAGACGCAGAGGTCCCGGGTTCGATTCCCAGTGGGGGCAGATGTTTCTGTTCGGTTTGGTTGATGGTAGGGCTTGTTCTAAGTCCGCCTGGCTAGCTACCACCATTTTACCTAAGTCTGTCGCCATAACAACAATGTTAACAGCATTGTTGTGTTCCGGCAGTTAGAGGTAAGATAGCCAGTTCCTCCGTGGTTGAGGATTCCGGGTGAAGCTCGCTTCCACCTTCGGCCTGATCATCACTTACCATCAGGTGAGATACAGGCCAAGAGCTTCCTCGTTGTGGATAAAAAATAATAATAAATAAATAAGTTTAGCTGTGTTCCATTGTGGTGAGGGCAGTTAGAGTTAGTTAGAGGCAAAGGGGGGATAAATTTAAAGGGAAGGGGAGAGAGAGATAGGAAGATTGAGAGTGATAAAGAGAGAGAAAGTAGATTGTTATGACAAGGTTACCTGGTGTAGGACTTTCACTAGGTAGCTTTTTTATACGACGTATGGCAGAAGGCAGATATAGTAAAGGAGAGAGCTAGAGAAATTGGGCTAGTCCCACCTCTCGTTCCCACCGCTGCAACTCCTGTGTAGCCAGGATCTACAGCTTGACCGCCAATATAAACCCAACCAGTGAAGGTCAAGTTTGAGTGAGTGAAAGATGATAATGATGAAATTACCTGGTGTTCCATTTTCAGCGCTTCCAACTGCTGCGTGGTCCTTCCAAGCGCGTCATTTTGTGCGGCGTGACGTGCGGCCGCGGCAGAGGTGTCACTACGCAGTTTTTGAACCTCTCTGGATAGTTTGTCACACTCGCTTCTTTGGGCTTTGTAGAGCCGGTCTTTTTCCTGTTCAATATTAATTTGCTGGTTAAGGGCTTAAAGAGCAGGGATGTTATGGATATCCGTAACCGTAACCGAAACTTTCGGATATCCGAAACTAGCTTTCCGCCCGCGGCTTCGCCCGCGTGCAATTTTGTCTTTCACAGAAAAACATTATCACGCGCGTTCCTGTTTCAAAAACCGGGATAAAAACTATCCTATGTCCTTTCCCGGGACTCAAACTATCTCTGTGCCAAATTTCATCAAAATCGGTTCAGTGGTTTTGGCGTGAAAGAGAGACAGACAGACAGAGTTACTTTCGCATTTATAATATTACCGTAACCGTAACCGAAACCGGTATAATATAATTCAAATATCCGTAACCGTATCCATAACCAAAACTACTGGGCCTAATTTAGGGCACAGATATAATGTAGGTATGTACCTAGTAGGTACTACCTACCTACTCGTATGTTGCCTCAAGAGCCTACTCTTGATATAGGGCGTATAGGAGAGGGAGAAAGAAAAAGGGGAGACTTGAGAGGGGCAAAGAGGGAAAGGTAGAGAGAGTGCAATAAAGAGAGAGAGAGGGATAGAAAGAAAAAGAAAGGGGGACAGAGAGAGAGAAAGAGAGAGGGACAGAAAGATAAAAAAGGGGAAGAAAGGTAAAAATAGGAAGGGGCAAACAGAAAGAAAGAGAGAGAGAAAAAGTAAGACTACAGAAGCCGAGTACGCCCATGTGGGATTCTGTTACTAAAGTAATAGTAATTAACACTCACGGCTAGTCTGTTCTCCATCCCCATGCACTTGGCTTTCGCGTCGGCTGCGCTCGACCGCAAGTTATTGTTCTTGTTTAGCAGACTCATCCTTTCTCCCTCTAACTCTGCTACTTGTGTGAGGTGCGCTTTGCATTGTATGGCCTGAAATCATGAGAACATAATCATACAAAAGTTTCAATAACTCCTTGTTCAAATTAACTGGAGGAGAATGCCGAATGGCTTTACGTTTACTTTACGTTTAAGTTTTAAATAAATTTACATCACCTTAATTTAACTTTAACAAATGTCAAAAGTATGTCAGCCAACAAGAAACTGAAAAACACCGGTTACGGTTATAGTTACGGTTAAAGTAATGTGCATTCACTGACTGGAGATTAAGGCTGGGTTGCACCATCTTACTTCAACTATATCAAACGTCAAATTCCATACGAAAACTCCGGTTAAAGTTATAGTTACGGTTAAAGTTAAGGTGATGCAAGTTTTTGATAACAACAACCTTCTTGTCTATAGCATCTTGTAAGTTGTCGATCTGATCTTGCATTAGCTTCACTTTGGATGACAGGAACTTGCAAATACTCTCCACCGAAATATTATCTGTAAAAGAAAAAGATTTATCGTTTAAAATATTATTGAAAAGCCAAGAAAATCTATTCTGGTAGCCATAGGAAGTCCACCCACAAGATGGACCGACAACCTCATAAAGTGCTACCTCATAAAGGTAGCAGGAAGGCGCTGGATGCAGGCCGCTACCAACTGGCCATTCTGGAAATCATTTAAGAGGCCTATGTTTAGCAGTGGATATCCTGTGGCTTAAATGTTCTCGGAACATTTAAGCCACAGGATATCCACTGCTAAACTGATATCCGCTGGTGCCTCGGAATTGAACAGTCACAGCAATCAAGTGAGCAAAAGGTCCTGGGTTCTATTCCCATCTGAGGCAGGACTATTCCCTTCCCACCTCTTGTTCCCACCACTGCAACTCCTGTGTAGCCAGGATCTACAGCTAGACCGCCAATAAAAAAACAACCAGTGATGGTCAAGTTTGTCCCGGGGGAACGTTAAAATGGACTGACAGCCAAAATTATATTTATAGAATTTCAACACAAATAACTTATTCATTATACATATAGGACCCTGTATTACCTTTTAAGAAAGACTGCGGGAAAACCCTCTCTTGAACACCGACTGACACAAACGCTTGCAAAAACTCACTGCTATCGTCTCTCTTCTCTTTCTTATTATTTAAACAACAATCACATACCACCCTCCGTACTTCTTCTTTTATTTCTACAGAGACATTCTTTGTTTCGTCAACCGTGATGTGCTTCGGTGATTTGATCGTCCTCCGTTTGACGATGGCAGGTTTGATCGGATTGATTGTTCGTTCTGGTGGTGGTGGGTGACATTGGTGACGTTTAGGTGTGGAGTTCGGTGTTAGAGAGAGACTGTGAGAGAATTCGGAGAAGAAATCTTGTTTTTGCTGTAAATTATAAAATAATGAGTAAAAAATTAACTTCTGAGCTATTATTAGCGTTAAATATGAAGAATTGAGTATGACAGTTACTTCTTTTAATTCTTTTTACATAATTTTTAAGAAGAAATCTTCGGAATTTTGTGCACTAATGTTGTTCTTGAAAATTATGTTAAATGTGAGTAAAAAACTACAAAAACTTGGTAGTTTTCTTTATAAACAGTTATGATGGTAGCTAGGGCCTTTTTGATCAATAAGATATTGAGATTTTATTGGAAAAACCATGGACCTATAAAAAAAGTCCATGGGAAAAACTAGTTTAATTCAGTTAAAAATATGTGCACAGAAAATTTTATGAAAACATACCATAACATGCTCGATTTCCTTCATAAGGCTTTCTGTTTTCTTTTCCAACTGTTTATTGAGTTTCTTGAACTCATCTTCACGAGCTAAAAGATCTAGGGAATCCATTCTTTACGCTTAAATTCTACAAATAAAATAGTACTGTAAAATCTTACAACACACTCTTTTCTGACATTTTAGAAAACCTGGCAAAATTAAAGCAAGATGTTCCTTGTAAGATATTTATTTCACCAACATCTATTTTATTTGGCTGTATTATTGTGATCAAACAAAGGCGTTGCTATGGTAACAAGGTAGTAACCAATACACCATCTAATAGTCAGTAGCAAGTCTTTTTAATGTTTTTCCTACATGCGAGGTGAGTTGAACAAGATTTACACACGAATTATAAATAACTTTAATTAATATCAATAAAGTGATAAAGAAATTACACTGAAATTGTCTCGTTTACTTGTTGTTGATGTGTATGCGCTGCCATCTAGATTACTCCATTGGAACTAGTTACATAAACTAATATCGCAAAATGGCTTTTATTTTGGTTCTTATAGCTTTGACATAAAGCCTATAATCCTACAGTAAAACACATTGGGTTTATCGAACATCGTGTCAAAAACAGCTGTGCGCTGACCAATGAAATCAACGCTTTTGAATGTCAATATATCGCTGCTCTGTTCTCTCACGCACACAAAGAACTTGTTGACATATTGCTTTGTTCCCCATATGATTCTATTTGAAGAAACCGTACATTTTCGCTTCAAAATAACATCAAAATACGAAAGTTTGAGTCTAGAAATGGTGAAATAGGTCTTTATTTGGTGAATTTAGGGTGTGATTTGTCTATAAAACCTTATCAAGGTCGATTCGTTTAGAGCGAGATGTTCGTGTGTGAAAGAGCGCGCTGCCTACACGAGTATCATTTCAATCGATTGTACCAATGGGAGCGCGTCTAGCCCAGCTGACATCCAGTCATTGAATTGGGCGGCTCGTCATCGGACGTCGCTCGATTTCGCGATAACGTGAAATTGTTGAAAAATACATACAATTTGGACAGCTTCGCTTGTCCGGACTCCATTGTTCAGTGTAATAATGCATTTGAAGCGAAAAAGACACGATTATCGGAGTGTAATATTATAGCGCAGGTGATTCAAAGGAGGTAGACGACACAGTTAGCTGCTTTATTAAGGTACGCAGTATTCTACACATTTTCCTGCCATATGTTTAAATTTCACTGTGATCGTTCGCTCTTCATTTAGCGTTACTAACCTTGCTGGCATAGAAACTTTCTATTGATAACGCGACCAATTTGCGGTGACGAAAAGATGTGCAGTGATGTACCGTTGTAATGCACTTTTTGATTTGGCAGGTGTGTCGTTGCATTTTCTTCCGATAAAAAAAAATTGAAATAGAGATGTGTGTAATCGTTTGGAATTGTTTTTTTTTCGATGAGTCGAGAATAGAAATCAGCTGTTTGTTCTATAAAAAGGTTCTAAAGTGCAAAGCCCTTGCGATTTCTTTATCTTCGTGGTCATAACGGGTTGTGCAGGTAGGTACTTTTATTTGGTTTGGGCCCTTCGAACTGGTTTTAGTGATGGGAAAGGCTACTTTAAAAACCGATAAAAATATCGGTAACGAGTGCATGACCTACCTCATTTTTAATGCAGTATACCTCTACTTGGCCGATAATGTTGTAATTTATTAATTTATTTTAATCAAATTAATAACATCATTCAATTAGTATTAATGAAAGTTTTTACGCAAGTACCAGTTTTTATGAAATTAATATGTGAATGAAGTTCCTTATTCATGTTTTTGTATTATGCTGTAAATAATCTGAATAACTAAATAAATATGAATATAAAAACAAAGCAAGGGGATTTCTTTGTTTAAAAGTTTTTCTCCAGGAATCATAAATGCATGGTATTTTTTTAAATCTGTACATTCAAGATGGATGCTTTTTTTGACGCATTTTGAAGTCAAATCAGTTGGGAGTCAGGTAAAGTTTTTTTGTTTAAATTAATGGTCTGTTTGCCCTGCCTCTGTGTCCGGTTCTGTGTGTAAAAAAAGTGCCAAGATGGCGTCATGGTTCGGGTAACCCAAATTACATTTATTTTGTTAAACCTATGTAAAAATCTTTCAGCTATGACTAGTACTCTATATTACTTAACTAGTTGAAGATATTTATTTATTTAAGTTTTGGGCACGTGTTGTAACTATATCAAAAAGTGCAATTTAAATAAATTACTTCTAAAAACAATTCCATTGTCTACCATTACTTAAATGTGAGTAAGTTAGTAATAGGGTACGAGTGACGTCACTTCCGTGTACGGATTTGAAGAGAGGTCATGGTCTAGGTTATGGGCAGTTGATTTCACGTTCATCTGAAAAATACGAACTAAAAAAACCACATTTATTTTTGCAAATAGGCTTTTAAAAAGCACTTTTACACGTCCCAGTATTAACCTTACCACTGCTTCGGGACAATAAATGGGCCCATGGTAACTGGAACTATGGTATTGTTATTTTTTTTATATTGAGACCAATGAGTCCCAAAAACTGACCCAAGCATGGTGTTTTTTTGGGCATCGTCATTGGGCATTATTTCTTTATGAGTCACACAGATAACGTTTCTATAAATATGTATTATATCCGATGTTGTTAAAGTTTTCTTTGGTAAAAGTTGCCATAAAAACTCAGAGACATGATTTAATGAAAAAAGTACGCCTGTATCGCCAATTAACTTATTAATTGGCTCATCATGCTTATTAAGCAACTGATTATAGTTGCTTAAACCATTATTTATCTTAAGGAAATTACAACACATTAACGATCGTTAAATGGCCTGACTAATTAGGTAAATTCATTAAACATTTATAGAGCCGTCATTGTATTTATCGCTCGGTCCAGAAATAAGTCATCCCTTTTAAAAATAACCACCCTCCTCGCTTTATTTGGCCCTTATTTCGCGAGAGGGATGATTTTGCTACGTATTTCAAATTGCAGGCAGTAATTTTACCCTCCTATTCAACAATACTGGGGATATCGTATATCGAACGAAATCTATGAGCCCTTGTGGCTATGAATGAATCTAGTTTTGAATTCGATTCAGTAGAATTACATTCTAGGGAAGTTAGATTCAGTATATTCATGAAAGAACAATAGATTTAAGCCTGAAATTAAATGTATTACAATCTCGTCTAGACACTTCTTACGTCACATGAGGCAGAATCATCTGATGTTGTTCTAAAAGGTATATTTTTTAACCTACTTAAAAAAAGGAGGTTCTATGTTGGACTGTATGTATTTTTTTACAATAATATTAAGTCTGCTGTACTGTCGATGTATTTCAGGACATTTTGAGGCCATATTGAAAAATAATTAGGTAGGCATTTGTTGGGATTCACCAACGCGTTGGTGAATACGCAACAATGTTTATTGGAGCAAATAATGAAAGATATCTCTAACAGATATAAACAATTACGGTTAATTATCAATTAAGTAATGTGCAATTAGTGAGCCAGCCTAAACCACTCATTAAAACATTGTTAACATTTTTGTAAACTATTGTTTTACTTCCTTTATCAATAGGAATTGTGTTGGGACATAGATAAAGAATCGAGTCGTTGCAGTCGTGGTTGTAATTTAAATTTACAATTTAGTGAACAAAACTTGGCATTGTTTTTACGATCGTTGACAGTTGACTGGTGTCAAGGTTAAATGGTAATAATTTTATAAATTACATTAAGTTTTTAAGCTAGGAATTTTGAGATTTGAGGTAGATAAGGTAATTTTTCGATTCCCAACCTAAATTATTTTCACCTAGCTGAAAGTGGGCCAAGTCGCTGAAAGACTCGTAAAATGAGGTAAAATTAGTGAAAATCATTAATATGGTATAAAAACTATTTTTTCTTTGTTAATAGTCGGAAAACAAAGACTTTGATAATAGGGTTGCGATAGTAATAACTGAGTACGAACCCCTACAAATGACTAGTGAGGCGTACGTCATCCCTTAAGTGTGCTACACTGTAAACCTGTACAGAAACATTTCAATAGAAGCTTATCAGTTACTTGGTATCAAGTGCCTTATTTACTTCCTGACAAAAACGTACGAGTAGGTACTAAGTTAGTAATCAGACTCCGCCGGGTGCTTTAAAATGATTACAGACATTAATGTCATACTACCTAGAATACCTATAGCTAGAGTTGAGCTAGAGCAGTGATGTAACCCGCCACATTTCAATTTCTTCCCTGTCTTCTAAAAATACTGTATCGATTGAAATTTTGTAACATAATCGGCCAACACTAAAAATTCAGTTGAATGAATGAACGAAGTAGAGTAGGTCTCTTCATTGTACACCATACAAAACTGACAGCAGTAATACGGGGGGTTCATACAAACCAGACACATTATAAACATTGTCGTTTCTCAGTTTATAAGGATGTGCGCAGCAAGGAGTGACCCAGTTTACGATCAGATAAGGTTGATGTTGATAATAAGGAGATAACTTGAATTTGTCATCATGACAAAGAGCTACATTACTAAATAATGTTTTCTTGTCTGAACTACTTTGATGAATTTCGGTGCATTAGGCGATAAGAGATTTAAAGGGTACATTTTAAAGGTACAGCTACTAAGTTAGCCTAAAGTCGATATGGGTACCTCTAATTTTCTCATGTTAGGGATAATAAATTTCCATAGTTTTTATTAAGTTTAGTAAGAAGCGAGCAACAGACTGGTACGAAATTACGTAAGGGCACTTTATTTCTTAACATAACTTTAAATCATTATCGAGGGTTAAGAATTAAAAAAAAATACATAGATAAACATAGAAAACTGGTTAAGCTAGCTTTAAGCTAAATTTTTTTGTTACACATTTTTGTGACATTTATTTCTTACTGCTATTGTTTTAGAGTACACATTCGATTAAAATTCTTCTTATAAAAACTGACCGATCGACTTTGTGTTTGACTTTGCATTCGTTAAGTTTTTGTAGTCAACAGTCAAGACTAAATGTTTGTTGCAAATTAGCACCTATTCGTTCTGCATTAAATGCCACGTTTTTAGCTTGATGTACTGTCTGTACATACATATCTAATTAAGTAACATAATAGCAAAGTTATTGGGTAGTCACAATTATCTTCTAAAGTGTAGGTTGCATAAATGTGTACTTAATATTTAATGATTTCCTTCTTTAAGACGATATCCCATTGAAGAATGATTCCTTCTTAAACACGATAACGATATCGGTCCCATTAATCATGTCAAACGTCTAGTAACGTGGTTATTAACCTGTGGTTTATTGGCAGAGAATGCCATCCGGCATTAAGTCCGCTACAGTGCATTTTATGTGCTAAAAGTTTAAATAAATAAATAAATAAATAACGACTAATATAGTCCCAACACTAGTATTATTATTACGAACTCTGTCTGAGTTCACAATAAAGCAAAAATAAGTTCTATTATTATCCCCTAAGGCATACAATTCTAATTGACTCAGTATCAATTTTTTATTGAATATTAATCGTTCGACGTATAGGGTAACGGCACCAGTGGTCAGCCTCATAACAGTTTTTTGAAGTTTTGACAATTGCCATTTCTACAACAATCGTCGAATAAAAAAACGTACAACATGTATGGATTTATTGTTTATTGTAGTTTCGAATCAACATTTATCAAAAACAATAATTCTCTTAGTAAAATATATAATTAATTTTAAACAAAAAATGGCCCAGTGTCCCAGTGAACAGCCTCTAAAAACCAATAAACAGCCTTGTTGAACCCAGTGTTCAGCCTATAGTACGTATAACTAATAATGAGATCAAAATAAACAATGTTATATCAAAATCAACGATATTAATCACATTTTTATAGCAACGATTCACTTATCACAAAAAAATGTATATCGCACATTATACAAATATTATTTTAAACATACTATTGCAATCTCTTTGTGTCTTCTTATTTTCTAGGAACTTCTTATTACTTATCATAAAAACAGCAATATTTCTTTAAAAAAAAAATCAACGATATTGGTATATAATATGTCCTATTGATGTATCTATAATCCACTAGTATTGTGGTTCTTCACTTCTAATCTCTAAAAAGAAACGAGTTTTTGCCATTCGGCAGTTTTAGCTAAAAAAAAGTGAACAATAATAACTTTTGGATATGAATACACATTATAC